AGTCCAAATTTTGGCATTGTCATTCACTAGCCTTTAAGCAAGTCCCTTAACCTTGCTGAGCCTCAGTTTTCTGGTCTGTAAAATGGGGATGACAACGGTATCTATCTTGTTGGTTGCTATTGGAGTTAAATGAGATCGCAAAAGTGAGATGTCCAGCACAGTGCCCAGGTAGGCTCAATAAGTGTGGAGTATTAGAATCACAGCCTCATGCCCTGGGACTTTTGAGTGAGAGCTAGAGCCTTGAAGTTCTAAGTTGGGAAGGGGCCCCATTGGAGGTCATCTGGATAACAGGAAGACTTGATGCAGCAGGGCACTTGCCCAGAGTGCCACGCCACCTAGTGGCTGGTGTGTGGGACCATGCCGAGCTTTCCTGCCACCTTGCAGCTGAGGTCAACCACCCAGCTTGCTGTAGCTTCCTTCCACTCTGCCTCCTGCCCAGTGGCAGCCTCTTCCTTGCCCCACTGTCCTGGGAGCCTAACTAGCTTGGCATCCACCCTGGCACTCCCCTCCAGGTTTATAATAAAATAGGTGACTCAGATCAGCTTTCCTAGCAGGGAGACCATGTGGCACAGAGGCAAGAGACAGGGAGAAGCTTGGAGAAAATAGCTTTTTCAATGACTACCAATTACAGTCTGATATTCTCAAGGGGTCACTTGCTCCTCAAACTAGGGAAAGGACCTTTATTACTTCCTTTCCTGATCCTTCATCACTCATTCATTTCAGTGAATGAATTCCAATACACTCATGAATTCATTGACTTATTCAATATTGAAATGTTTTCCAAATACCATGTGCTCAGGTTCAGGGATGATCACCAGGGATTGATGTGAATATTTTCTATAAAAGGTCAGCTAGTAAATATTTTCAGTTTTTTGAGTCAATCTCTTCAGCTTTTCTAGCAAGAAAATAGTTGTCGGTAACATGCAAACAAGAGGTAGGTGTGGCTGTGTTCCAGTAAACATTTTTTTTGTAGACATTGAACTTTGAATTTTATATAATTTTCAATGGTCATAAAGTATTCTTTTTTTTAAAGGAAGGGATAGTGTCTTTTATTTTTTCCACATTTTTATTGGTGCATTACAATTGTATTGATGGGAATTGTTACATATTTGTACATGTACACAATATGATAATATAACTTGGCCAGTATCACTCCTCAGTACTTTCCCCTCCCTCCCAATCTCCCATTTCTTGCCCATTTTGCTCTACTGATCTCCCTTTGATTTTTTAGGAGATCCTCCCTCACCTTTCTTTTCCTTTTACCTCTCTAGATTCTTCATATAAAGAAAACACACAACCCTTCACCTTCTGAGTTTGACTTATTTTGCCTACCATCATGGTATCTAGTTCCATCCATTTCCCTGCAAATGCCATGATTTCATTTTTCTTTATGGATGAATAAAATTTCATTGTGTATACCACATTTTCTTTATTCATTCCTCCTTTGATGTACACCTAGCATGGTTCCATGGTTTGGCTATTGCAAATTGTGCTGCTGTCAACATGAGTATACATATTTCCAAGTAGTAAGATGACTTTAATTTTTCAGGATAAATACAAAGGAATGGTATTGCTGGGTCATAAAGTGGTTCCATGCCTAGTCTTTTGTCTTAAAGTATTTTTTTTGAATTTTTTTCCAACCATTTACAAATGTAAAGACTATTGTTAGCTGACATGCTAAAGAAAACAGGCAACAGCAAATGGGCCATAGTTTGCCACTCTAAGCTGCAGCATCCTCTGCACATAAGACCAGGTGTGGGCTGCACCCAGTTTGTGCCAATACAGAGTCCAGGCCTCTGGAGCATCCCAGGGAGGAGGGAGTTGATGTCCTTAAGCCCATCACAGCTTAACCATTGCAGCCTTCCTAAACTTTATCCTCTCCATGCCACATCTGTTAATCTGGGGGCTATTAGATCTCCTTTAGGACCAGAAGCTTTCTATGATGGCAGGAATATTACTGTTTAAGCACTTGGAATCAGAAAGGACCTAGGTCCTTGACCATCTCTTAGCTGAATGGTCTCAGGTAAGTTGCATAACGTCCCTGTGCCTCAGTTCCCTCATCTGTAGCACCTCTCAGGTTGTTGAGAGGAGATATGTGTGTACAGTGCCCAAACAAAGCCTGATGTTGAGTCAGTGGTTAGTGCTTATGGACTTTCCTCACAGTTTCTTCTCTACTCACCCCAGAATCCAGCAGCATGGCTCTGAGCCCAAAGTGCCTATGCAGCCCTTCCTTCCTTGCCAAATCTCAATTTACAAAATAGAAGAACAAGGTCCCTGATGTTTTGCCCAGGAGTCCTCAACATCTGTACTCTAGGCTCCCGAGAGACATAGTCTTTGGATTTAGCTTAGACCATTTCCCCTGGCTTCTTTGCCTCCAGCAAAATGATTCCTAAACCATCCCTCAAGGATACCCAGTCTTTGGAGTGTGTACACATGAAGAGCTCTTGGCTGGTTCTGTTCCAAGGATGAGTTGTGAAGGAGGAGGCTACTTGGCTGGGGATAAAGGGAAGAGGAGCCCGTCTCACACACCAGGCTGTAGTCCAGGAGTGGTCAGGCTGCCCAGGTCAAGATCTTGAGCAACATATACTTTAACCCTCCAGAGCTTTCTCTACTCTCCAGATATACTTCTCTTCTAGGCAGGTGCCCAGCTTGCAGTCCCCTTTCCTTCCCTCCTAGAGCCTGTTACCTTATCTGGTTTCATTATTTCAGAGCACTTATACCTATGTGAAATTTTATAATTTCTTCTTAGATTTATTTTCAGTCTCGCTTCCACTAGAATTTAAGCTCCTTGAGGGCCAGGGATGTTGGCTATAATCCTTGCAACAATCCTTAATGGACAGATTCATTCATTTTCCTCCTCCTCTCTCTCTCTCTCTCTCTCCCCACTCTCCCTCTCCCTCTCCCCCTCCCCCTCCCCCTTCCCTCCTTTCCTCCCTCCCTCTCTCTCCCTCTTTAAATCAATGCACACACCATGGTCACCCAGTTAATGAGTGGTAGAATGAGGATTCAAGGTCAGGCCTATCTAAGGATCTAAAGTTCACATTCTGTGCCTCCACACTCAAGGCAGAGCTCATTTCACCCAGCAAGATGAGGATATATAAGCTTTGAGCCACACAGTGTCCAGTAGGAGTAGTGATAATGATGTGTCAGGAGGCATTTATGGGAGCCTTAGGAATGTACTCTGACAATACTGCAGGAGGCAAAGTCAAATGGCCTGACTCTTGCTATCTCTGATCTCATGGACTCGTTAGATAGAGACATATATTCTCCATCTCTTCACTATGATACAGATAGTACTAAGAGATACACAGGGGCACACAGTGTTTTGGGACATGTTTTAGTGTTTGAGCAGCTGTAACAAAAAACTATAGACTAGGTGGCTTAAAAAACATGAATTTATTTTTCATAGATCTGGAGGCTAGAAGTCTAAGATCATGGCCCCAATCAATTCAATTCCTAGTGAGTGAATGCCCTCTTCCTGGTTTGTGGATGGCCACCTTCTTGCTTTATCCTTCCAAGGTCTACAGAGAGATTGTTTCCCTTAAGTGTCTTCTTCTTTTTAAAATATTTTTTTAGTTGTCAACAGGCCTTTATTTTTTATTTATATATGCGGTGCTGAGAATCGAACCCAGTGCCTCACACATGCTAGGCAAGCGCTCTGCTCCTGGCCACAACCCCCGTCCTCAAGTGTCTTCCTATAAAGGCACTAATCACATCGCGAGGATTCTACCCTCATGACCTAATTCCCTCCCAAATGCCTTCCTAGTACCATCATATTGGGGATTCAACTTCAAATAAGAATTCTGAGTGGACACAATATTTAGCTCATAGCAAGCACTGGATAGTCAGAAGCCAGGGAAAGGAAAGGGGGATAGGAAGGCAAGGGATATTGTCAGGGAAGACACTTTGGGCAGAAAGAGGGCCTATCTGAAGACTGGTAAAGGGTCCAAATGGCTAGAGTCTTCAGTATACTGGAAAAGAGCAGTGAGGGAATAAAAGACGGTGAGAAAGTTGGTTGGGGCCAAATCATGGAAAGCCTAAAAGAAATTAGAAAAAGACTGGGTTTCCTAGAGCCTGCGTGATGGAGAATAATACCAACAGAATACAACAGAACAACTGATTGTGTATGTTAGGAACTGTACATTTTACAAAGTACTTCTGGTTCATTCATCCACTCTGAACTCTTCTTTATTTATTTACTTTTTTTCTTTTGCTGTACTGGGGATTGAACCCAGGGCACTTTATGGCTGAGCTACATTCCTGGCCTTTGACTTTTTATTTTGAGACATGTCTTGCTAAGTTGCTGAGGCCGGCCTCTAATTTGCTCCTCCTGCCTCAGCATCCAAAGTAATAGTTCCTAACATGCAAGCAAGTTCAGTAAGAGCATGAGGTCCAATTTACAAGTTGTATAGATTTGAACAAGTCACTTCACATCTCCAAGGCTCACTTTCTTCATCTCTGGCAGCAGGATCCAATTCTCAGAGCTTTGGGAAAGATTTCACAAAACCAAACACATCGAAGGTGGTCTTTAACTTCTGGTCTTCAATTTTTTTCTCGGCAAAATTCCTGTCCGACCTAATTTAAGGGGGCTGAGGATGCGACTGTGTAAGGCAAAAACCTAAAGCAAGAATCTGGTCAACCAAACCGGTGAGCAGATTGTTCCCCGTTTGGCCGATGGGGCTAAAGAAGTTAGTATTTCTTGATTGTCTGAAAGCCTTAGAGAAAGGGCTTTGGATACTCTGTAACAGCATCTTTTAATACTGGCCACAGTGTTTTACTTATTTGAGACAGAGAAAGAGAGACACCTGGAAAGCAAACAACCGCATTCAAAAAGTTGAGGAGCTGGCGGCGCAAGCGCGTTAGCCGACCCGAGCCCTAGGGCCGCACCTTCTTTTGCCCCGCCCCCGCCCCTCAAAGGCACCAATCAGCAAGCGAGCCGCTGCGTGACGCCATCTTCCCGCGGCAAAGCGAGCTGCGGCGGCGCTTCCGGCTGATCGAGCCGAGGTACCGAGGTTATGGGCAGCCAGGAGGTGCTGGGCCAGGCGGCCCGACTGGCTTCCTCCGGTCTCCTCCTGCAGGTATTCTCTGTCGGGCTGGTCACAGCCCGTGCCAGCCAGCATTCGTGGGCAGACGGCCCTGGGGCAGACCCAGCCTCGAGGTGGAGCCCGTTTTGGAGTGGGTCAGCTGGAGACAGGTTGCGGTGAGGTGGCATCTGGACAGGAGTTGGGCGCCCGCGTTAAGAATCTTGACAGAGCAGTTGCAAACAAACCATTTTTAAAAATAAGCATTGTATTTCCCATTTGGTAGTAGGAGAAAATTTAATCAAGTGCTGAGGGTGAGACATTTCATACTGGAGAAACCGATATTTTTAAGACAAGGGATTCATTCCTCTGTATCTCATCCCTGACCTTCAAACACTTTCTTTTAGCTTTCTGACTCCCACTGAATTTAGACCGTATGGTATAGCCAAGAACAGGGATGTGGGTTCAGGCAGGCCTAGAATGGGACATGTACATGCTGTGTAACCCAGGACAAGTGACTTCATCCTGAGCCTCAGTTCCTCATGGATAGAATGGGGACGATAATAATAGCTAGCTCATAAGGTAGTTTCAAGGATTGATTGGGATCATTTAATAAATGCATTTAGCAGTACCTGTATCTTAGAACCGTGCACCTAATAAATATTGGATGCATCTTTCTTCTGTGTGACTTTGGACAAATCACTCCCCCTTCTTGGCTCTAATTTTTCTCACTTGCCAGATATGATACATGTCAGTCATCCAAGTAGTATCTAAATATTCTTTCAATCCTAGGAACTAGTTGTTCTAAGTGATTTAATTAATTTCTCTGTCTCACTTAACCATACTTCACCCAAGTCCTGAATCCACCCTCTCCATTATCTTAGAGAGGCAGATGGAGGTTAGGAGAAAGAACCCGGCTGACTTGGGCTCTGTTTTGGGTCTTGTCAGTTCTTAGATGCCTGCCCTTGAGAAAATTGCCTGACATTCTCTTGAGTATAGATTTGCTCTCCCCACCCCCATCTTTTTTTAAATGAACTTGGGACTGAGCTACTTAGGCCTCGATAGCCGTATTGAAATTATATGCAGCTATTCTTTTTGCAGTGCTAGGGATTGAACCCAGGGTCTTGTACATGTTAAGCAAGCACTATACCACTGAGCTGTACCTCCAGCTCCAGTTTTCTCATTTTAAATGAGAACAGTAATGTAACTTCACAGGCTCATTAAGAAGATTAGATGAAATCATGCCTGCTAAGTGCCAAGCACATTACAATACTTAATAAATGTTAGCTACTTTTATTGGGTTAATGTGTTTTAAATGGTCAGTGTAGGATTGAGATAAGAGAATTTCCATGAAGCATGTAGAAGAGTGCTTTGCGCATGATCTGTGCTTAATGTTAGCTTCTCTTCACCTCCATGTTTACCTAGTTGTTTGTTTTTCTATTTCACAGTAAAAATAACTGAGTTCAGCACTTCAAGACAATATTGATTTTTCCACCTTTGATTAAGCTTTACTACCCAGGTTGGATTTATAAGAAGAAAACAAGTTATAACAGGAAATTCTCCTATATTAGGAGTTAGGTGGCCTGCCTTTAGGGTCAGGCTGGTCCATTTACTTGCTGTGTGGCATGGGGCAAATCACTTCACTTTGAGTCTTACTTGCTTTTGTGCATTTACCTGGTTGTTTTAACAGGTCAAATAATTAGCAGATGTGAAAGAGCTTTTTTTGTGTGCAGTGCTGGGGATTGAACCCAGGGCATCTCACATGCTAGGCAGTTGCTGTACCACTGAGCCACACCCCATTCCCAAAGAGTGTTTTTTAAAACCATAATTTCCTTTATGCAAATAAATGGAGAGGGTTGTTAGTAAGGGCCACTGTACGGGGCATGTAGTGGGTAGCATGAGTGACCTCAGTTTCATTTGCTTAAATCTTGATCCAAACCAATTAGGAGATATGGATATGAACTGAAATCTTAAGTTTCTTGGACAGTAACTTTGAAGTCAATGTGTGTTTATATGGTTTTTTTAAAAAATAGTCATAATTTTAAGGTTTTTTTGTTTGTTTTTGTTTTTAGATACTAGGGTTTGAACTCAGGGCCTCACACCTGCTAAGCTAGTCCTGTACCAATGAGCTACATTCCCAGCCTTTTTTAGGTTTCTTGAGTGTTTTAATTGGGTCTTATATATCCTTTTTCAAATTACAGTGCAGACACATCAGGTAGCTTTGCAATTACATTTTATTATGCAAGTATTTGAGAGCTTATTCTCTCTTAACTCTGATCCCGACATTCATTAATGCCTTTCATTTGTATGTTTTTAAAAAATGCTTTCACCCCTATAATCTCATTTGATCCTTGCAATCAACCCTTTAAGATACATAGTCTCATTTGACAGAGGAGAAAATGAAGGCTTTTAAAAATTAGAAGTTGATGGCTTTAAGAGCCAAATGGTAAGTTGAGACTCTTGACTGAGTACTTTTTCTAGTAAGGGATCTGTGATTGGTTCCAAATCTCTCACATTAAGTATAAAATTTGGTGTGTATGTATATACCTGCATGTTTCTAAGAAAAGGCTAGAGAACTTTTCATCAAACTCTCAAAAGGTCACCTTTGACTCCATAAAGGTTAAGATGTTAATTTTGACATTAGAAACCTTTGCATTGTGTTAACACTTTGGGGACACTGTTACTGGCCTAGAGGTTTTCAGACTATATAGTATTTTGGCTTCCTTTGATTAAATCTTCCAAATTGCAGCTGTTCACAGATAACCTTAAGAATGCTTAACAGAGAAGTGATTTGTCATTTGCTGCTGCTATGTGGGGTGGGGTAGGTACGTGGGGAGGCGGGGTGGCATCACTTAGTGAGTACAGCTTGCATCCTATCCAGCATCTCCATTTGGCAGCCCCACTGAATGGCAGCCTCATTCTCTATGCCTCATGGGAAGAATTCTTTGTTTACATGGTTTTCTTGAATTGATAGGTTTGAAAGTCTCAGGATATGTGCCAAATGACAGTAGCTGGATTCTGTCTTCCCACCCCCATTTTATATTATTATTGCAGTTATTTTTTATTTTTATTTTTTGATACTGGGAACTGAATTAGGGCCTCGAGCTTGCTAGGCAACTGCTCCACTGCTGAGTTACATCCCTAGACCTTATTTATTTATTTAATTGAGACAGAGTCTTACTAAACTGCGCAGTCTGGCCTCAAACTTATGGTCCTCCTGCCACAGCCTCTTGAGTAGTTGGGATTGAAGGTATAACAACTGCACCCAGCTGTAGTTGTTATTTAAAAGATATGTTGGCTCAGGGTTAAGGCTGTGTGGCTCAGTGGTAGAGTGCTTGCCTAGCATGTGTGAGGCACTGGGTTCGATTTTCAGCACCACATATTTAAAAATGAATAAAATAAAGGATCATACATCTAAAAAAAATTTAAAAAAAAGATATGTTGGTTCATTTGGTAGAGGGCTTGCCTAGCATGTGTGAAGCACTGGGTTCAATCCTCAGCACCACATAAAAATAAAATAAAGGTATTGTGTTCATCTACTAGAAGAAATATTTTTAATGAATAAATAAATAAAAGATGTCAGTTTCCTTTCTGGAAAGGGTCAAATATTTAGTAAAGAAATAAAAGTGTGTAGTGGCCAGGCATGGTGATGAATGCCTATAATCCCAGCACTCCAGAGGTGAGTTAGGAGGATTATAAATTCAAGGCCAGCCCTGGCAACTTAGATTGAATCTCAAAATAGAAAACATAAAAAGGCTGAGAATGAAACTCTTGTAGAGCACCTCTGGGTTCAGTCCCAATACTGCAAAATAAAAAATAGAAAAGAAGGAAAGAAATACAGTATCTTGAGAAAAGCAAATTTCAAAGAAATTAACTGAAATTAACTGTTATTGGAATCTCTGGATATTACCAGGCAAAGAAGAAAGAGACATTAGATAGACCTCATGATTCCTAGTGAGTCTGGTATACTCTCAGACTTTCAGTTGCTGAGTGTGTGCTATTTCTGAACAGTCTAGAGGGCCTGGGCTGAGGCCCAGTGTGAATCACTAACTACAATTCTTTTTGCCTCCTAGAATGTTTGACTTTGAACCTAAAAAAATTTACTGAATCTATTGAGGACACCCTCTTTTCATCAGTAAATTAAGGAGACCTCCCAAGTGCTTTCCTGGCTGCTGCTGCTGTTTTGTTTTGGGTAGTGGGTACTGAACCCAACAAGGATGCTTTACCATTAAGCTACATCCCTAGTCCTATTTATTTCTTTGTGGGTTACGGGGGATTGAACTCAGGGGCACTTTTTTGTATTTTATTTAGAGATAAGGTCTTACTGAGTTGCTTAATGCCTCGCTTTTGCTAAGGCTGGCTTTGAACTTGTGATCCTCTTGCTTTAGCCTCTCGAGCCACAGGGATTACAGGCATGCACCACTGTGCCCAGCAACTTTTTATTTTTTAAATATATCTTATTTTATTTTTAGTTGCCGATGGGCCTTTATTTTATTTATTTATTTACATGTAAGTGCTTAGAATTGAACCCAGTGCCTCACACATAGTAGGCAAGTGCTCTACCACTGAGCCACAACCCCAGCCCTCCTTTTTACTTTTTGAGACAGGGTCTTGCAAAGTTGCTGAGGCTGAGTCAAACTAGCAATTCTCCTCTGCTTCAGCCTCCTTAGTTATTGGGAATACAAGTGTGTGCCACTGTGCCTGGTTTTCCTGGATTCCTTGACTATTGCACAGGATGTTGAGAGACTCCAAAGAATGAAATTTCAGAAGAAAGGCAGACAGACTGAGCTGTTTAAAGGAGAGTCTATGGCAAAGCTGTGGTGTGTCATTACATAACATTGGGAAAAACAATCATGTTGTCCTCATTTTGGCAAAGTAAACATTCCTAACATAGTTTATTCTGTCTTTTTCTTCTTTTTCTACAGGTGTTGTTTCGAGTGATTACCTTTGTCTTGAATGCATTTATTCTTCGCTTCATGTCAAAGGAAATTGTTGGCGTAGTGAATGTAAGGTGAGAGGGAATGCACTCTGCACTGTCCACAGCTCGCATCCCTAGTCAAATATATTTCAAGCTGTACCCGTGTATGGTTTAAATTTTAGAAACATAGACCTTTATCAGAAGCACAGCTTTTTAGCAGTGGGCTGAGGAGGAGGTGCAGGGGTGGGGAATGACAGGGCAATGCTACTTTTAATGGACCCATGGAGTGTTTTCCATTAGCAGCCTCCAAATGCACATTTCTCTGCCAGTTGTTCTGGTTTCCCTACTCTTAGAACCCAGGAGAAGAGTGGGAGTAATTTGTTACAAACCTTGTCTCAGGTGCAATACAGTGTTCTTGTCCTGCTGACAGCAAAGGGGGCAGGAATTCTCCAGTTCTGAGGATGTGCATGATAATGGCAGGGCTGGAGCCACCAACTTCCTTCCCTCCTTAGTGATTTTATAATTGGGATATATGGTAACTGGGGGGAGTCTGGGTCCTCATCATTAGGTTTTTAGAGACTCTGGGAAAACTGACTTGCTTTGTCTTTTAGACTCAGCTTGTTTCTTCTACTCTCCTCTTTTCTGTTCAAGGACACCCACACATGTTTTATATTCACAAATGACACAAAAATATATGAAATGATGTGAGGGCTCAGAATAGCTCAGCTTCTCAGGTGTTTCTTCATGTCCTGATAAACAAGACAGTGTGTTCTAGACAGCATTTCATGTCTGGTACTTACTATACACATGGTCTTGGTTCTGTTCTTAGAGTCAAGTGGCAATTCTCAATTTTTGATTGGCATAGGAATCATCTGGGAGCTTTCTACAAAGTAGGGCTGAGGAAGGGTGCTGGAATCTGTATTTTTACAAGTTGTCAGGTGCTTGTGAGGCAGAGACTATACTTTAAGAAATACTGTTTTGGGGCTGGGGTTGTGACTCAACAGTAGCGTGCTCGCCTGGTACGTGCGAGGCCCTGGGTTCCACCTCAGCACCACATGAAAATAAAGGTATAAACAAAAATACATCAGGTAAAAAAAAAAAAACAAAAAGAAGAAGAAATACTCTTTTAAAGGCAGGAAAGACGAGGGCCAAATGTTAGGTGCTCAGGATTTTTTCCCCATGCATCCTCCCCCAGATTGGCAGGTGCCTGCCTTGACAGCCCTTGTCTGGCCTGTCCCTCTGCTTTCAGCTGCTCTTTGCTAAAGTGCAAGAAGGCTTACCCAGCTGCTGCTCACCTGCAAGGTACCCGAACAAGACTGGCTGAGCTGGGTTTCAATGGCTTCTTCTTTTTTTTTTTTTTTTTTTAATATTTTTTAGTTGTAGATGGACACGATACCTTTATTTATTTATCTTTATGTGGTGCTGAGGATCAAACCAGTGCCTCACCTGTGCTCTACCACTGAGCCACAATCCCAACCCCATGCAATGGCCTCTTAATGGTTGTTAGCCTTACGGCCTGTCTTGAGATTCCTTTGGCCACTACCTCACAGAGCAGAGCCTTGCTTTCCTCTTGAAGAGGCTATCAGGTCACTAGTCTCAGTGTGACCAAGAGGTTACTTTGCTGTGTGGGGTCAAAGGCTTATCCTTTTCTTTTTATGGTCAGGACTGTACCTCTGTCCATGGCCACAAAACCTGCAGCTTTTGGGGCCACCGCAACAGTTTCTATCCCAGACTGTAGGCACACACATTCAGGTGTGCCTTATTGGTTCCCAACTCTTATTCAAGTAGATTGGAGTGGTGTGGCAGGGTGGGGTGGGGGTCCTATAAGAGCTCACTGCCCTCCACCTTACTACCATGGTTTGTGACCAAGACCTTTTCTCCTATCTGTTGCTGAAGAAATCGCAGAAGTTGTCTGTGAAAAAAGTGGAGGCCTTATTGCTTTCTGCTTTTTCTTTACAGATTAACATTGCTTTACTCTACTACTACCTTCCTGGCCAGAGAGGCCTTCCGCAGAGCTTGTCTAAGTGGAAGTACCCAAAGGGATTGGAGCCAGACCCTCAACCTCCTGTGGCTAACGTAAGTTGTGCTTTGCCAGGAGATAAGTTTCAGGAAGGCAAGTGTAGTGAGTGTTGTACTTGAAGTTGGGTATAGTGGTGCATAGCTGTATTCCCAGTGGCTGGGGAGGCTGAGGCAGGAGGATTGCAAGTTCAAGGTCAGCCTCAACAATTTAACAAAGTCCTAAGCAACTTAGTGAGACCTTGTCTCAAAATAAAAAATAAAAAGTGCTGGGGGATGTGGCTCAATGGTTAAGCACCTCACTCCCCAGTACAAAAAAAAAAAAAAGTATGTAAAACAGCAATACTTGCCTGAAGCAGGTTGGGTTTTACAGTAGGGTTTAAGGGACTAGATATGAGACAGAAAGGGGAGAGTGTCTGTTTTGGAGTTGATTCTTGCTTTGTTTTCTCTTTGGTTGTTCAGGAGCCAGGAGGAGGTTCTGGTGGGGGTTCCTGGTCCAGATTTTTAGCCCTGATATTATTAACTTTGGAGATTGTTTCTGTTGTTTCTTATCATCACTCTGGACTCCACTTAGCCTGTGACATCTTTTGCCCTATAGTATCTTTTGAGCTCTTAACAATCACTTAGTCTTACTATTTTTTTTTGAAAGCCTTTTAAAGGAATTTTTTATATCTTTCTGCAATTTTGTTCTATGATTTTAGTTCTGAGTCTTTTAAAATATTCTCGAAGACCAAGTACATCAGCTAAAAAGTATAATGGCATTTCTGCAGCTAGATCCCTTCAGGGAAGACTGGTGGTTTCGGTTGTTTCCTAATGCTGCCCTTGCATAACTTCTTATTGCCTCGCTGAAATTAATGACTGTCATAAGGGTTGATAGGCGTTCATTTTATTAGAGGAATGGCTGTCAATTTCCAGTCATATTTAAGTGCTCTGTGATACACATGTGAAAGGATACTGTGCAGTGGACTTTGGGTTATTTGGGGCTCAAAAACTGGTTGTATACTGCCAGTCATTCCAAGCATGGACAGCAAGCATCTTCTTTCTGGCAATTTTGCTTACCAAGTTCGTGTGACCCAGTGGATAAGAGTATAGGCTTTGGAGTTAAGTCAGTATTGAGTCGTGCTTTTGCTCTTGACTATTTATTCATGACCTTGGCCAAATTATTCATGACCCAGAGCTTGTCAGTTCCAGTTTCCTCATCTTCTAAATGGGGGTAATGACAGAGGATCATTGTGAGGTGTCAGTGAAATGAAGGGTTTGCATCATAGTGCCTATGTTCCTTACTAACAGATATTTATTGTGATAGCTCTTTTTATTATGACTACTTTATTCAATGTTATTATTTTAATATGTATTTATATTTATTTTAAATGTGAGTGTATCAAAATATGGTTTCTTTTCTTGCTCTTCTAGAGTCCCCCTGGGTGTGTTTTGGTCCTTATTCCTGGGCTGGGTCTGGTTGCAGTTGCTTGAAGTACCTGATCCTGATGTGGTCCCCCACTATGGAACTGGAGTGGTACTATTTGGTCTCTCAGCAGTGGTGGAACTTCTTGGAGAGCCCTTCTGGGTCTTGGCACAAGCACATATGTTTGTCAAACTTAAGGTCAGTGTGCCTTCTGCCAATGGGAAATGTGAAGAATAAGGAAAAGCATGGTTTATTAAAAAAGTTTTTTTTTTTTGTTTTTTTTTTTAAATAGAAACCAGACATGGCTCATGCCTCTAATCTCAGCAACTCAGAAAACTGAGGCAGGACATTGCAAATTCTAGGCAGCCTTAGCGATTTAGCAAGACCTCAGCAACTTAAGGAGACCCTGTGTCAAAAAATAAAAAGGACTGGAGCTGGGTGTGGTGACACATGCCCATAATCCCAGCGGCTTGGGAGGCTGAGGCAGGAAGATTGAGAGTTCAAAGCCAGCCTCAGCAACTTAGTGAGTGCTAAGCAATTCAGCGAGACCCTGTCTCGAAGTAAAATACAAAAAAGGGCTGGTATGTGGCTCAGTAGTAAAGTATCCCTGGATTCAATCCTCAGTAGAGGGAAAAAAAATGCTTTTATAGGAGAGAATAATTTTCCCAGACTTGGATCGAAAAAACTATTTGCAAAAAGGTAATGTGATCAGTTAATTCATTTACTTGAAACTTGTCAGATTGTCTGGGCTAAAGGTTACTTTTGCTATACGATAAATGAAAAGCAAATTTGCTAATAAAGAAGTTATTAGTTCAGTCAGAATTTAGGACTATAAAACATTTCATATTTTTCTAGTGATTCTATTAGTTGTATACTACTATTGACTTTTCATCTTTTAAAATATATCATTTGGGCTGGAGTTGTGGCTCAGTGACAGATCCATATGTGTGACACTGGGTTCAGTCCTCAGCACCACATAAAAATAAATAAACAACAACAAAAAATATATATATATAATTTAATATATCCAAAATGTATATATACTGGGAGTGGTGGCTCATGCCTATAATACCAGCAACTTGGTGTGTTGAGTTAGGAGGATTACTAGTTTGAGGTCAGCCTTGGCAACTTAGTGAGATTCTGTCTCAAAAAAAAAAAAAATAAGGGGCTGGAGTTGTGGCTCAGTGGTAGAGCACTTGCCTCGCATGTGTGAGGCTGTGGGTTGGATCCTCAGCACCACATAAAACAAATAAAGAAATAAATAAAGGTATTATGTCCATCTACAACTAAAAATATTTTTTAAAATAAAATAAAATAAAAAGGATGGGAATAAATAGGATAGCATCAAATTAAAAAGCTTCAGCACAGCAAAGGAAACAAGAATGTAAAGAGAGAACCTACAGAATGGGAGAAAATTTTTGCTTGTTACTTTTCTGACAGGATTAACGTCCAGAATATATAAAGAACTCAAAAAACAATACCAAAACCCAAATAGCCTATTTAGTAAATGGGCAAATGGAATTAATGGGCACTTCTCAAAAGAAATGGCTAACAAATATATGGAAAAAATGTTCAACATCTTTAGCAATTAGGGAAATGCAAATCAAAACTACACTGAAATTTTATCTCATTCCAGTCAGAGTGGCAGCCATTAAGAATGAAATTGTCAGGTTCGGTGGCGCACACCTGTAATCTCAGCGGCTTGAGAGGCTGAGGTAGGAGGATCACGAGTTCAAAGCCAGTCTCAGCAAAAAGCAAAGCACTAAGCAACTCAGTGAGACCCTGTCTCTAAAAAAATTACAAAACAGGGCTTGGGATGTGGCTCAGTGGTCGAGTGCCCCTGAATTCAATTCCTAGTATTCCACCCCCCCACACACACAAAAAGAATAAAATAATAATAAATGTGGAAGAGGATGTAGATAAAAAGGAATACTTTTATTTTTTAATTTTTATTTTTTGGGGTACCAGGGATTTAACTCAGGGTCACTCAGCCACTGAGCCATATCCCCAGCCCTTTTTTATATTTTATTTAGAGACAGGGTCTCACTGAGTTTTTTTTTTTTAATATTTATTATTTTTAGGAGTAGATAGACACAACACAATGCCTTTATTTTTATGTGGTTCTGAGGATCGAACCCGGGTCCCACCCGTGCTAGGCCAGCACTCTACCATTGAGCCACAATCCCAGCCCTCGTGAGTTTTTTAATTGAAGCTTTTTAATTTGATGCCATTCTGTTTACTGGCTTTGAACATGTGAGTCTCCTGTCTCAGCCTCCCCAGCTACTGGGATAACTAGTGTGCCATGGCGCCCAACAGGAATACTTTTACACTGTTGGTGGAATTTTAAATTGGTACAATCATTATGGAAATCAGTATTGCTGTTTCTCAAAAGATTAGGAATGGAACCACCTATGATCCAGCTATACCACTTCTCAGAATGTATCCTGAAGAATTAAAGTCAGCATGCTATAGCAATACCTACATACCCATGTTTATAGCGGCACAGTTCACAATAGACAAACTATGGAACTAGCCTCATTGTCTATCAATAGATGAATGGGTAAAGAAAATATGATATGTAAACAATGGAGTTTTATTCAGCCAGAAAGAAGAATGAATTATGTCATTTGCAGGAAAATGAATGAACTTGAGAACATTGTTTTAAGTGAAATAAGCCAGACTCAGAAAGTCAAGGACTGTATGTTTTCTCTCCTATGTGAAAGCTAGAAAGAAAAAAGGAAAAGAAAGCTGTATTTGTGGGTGTCAGGAGGAGGAAAGAAGAAAGGGGAAGGGGAAATACTGGGGAATGATGTTGATAAAATTATATTGTCATGTCTGTGTATATAAGAATGTGTAACAACAGAAACCACCATATGTATTATTATAATACACCAATAAAAAATATGGAAAAAGAAAAAGGATGAGGATGTAGCTCAGTGTTAGAATGTCTCTAGGTTTAATCCTCAGTACAGAAAAAAAAAGTATAAATCTTACAGCATAACATGCAGATGGGGACAGTGGCACATGCCTGTAATCCCAGAGACTCAGGAGGCTGAGGCAGAAGGATCCAAAACTTGAATTTGCAAGGCCCTAAGCAACTTATTGAGACTTTATCTTAAAAAATAGAAAGTGCTAGGGGTGTGCTCAGTGATAAAGCACCTCTGGGTTCAATCCCCAGTGCCAAAACAAAAATATAACATGCTGAAGATTCTTTTTCTTTCTTTCTTTCTTTCTTTCTTCTTTTTTTTTTTTTAGTTGTAGTTGGACACAATACCTTTATTTATTTATTTTTATGTTGTACTGAGGATTGAACCACATTGAACCTCCCACATGCTAGGCGAGTGCTCTACCACTGAGCCACAACCCCAGCTCCTGCGGAAGATTCTTGAACCTAACATCCAACCCAAGAAGTAAAATATTACCAGTGCTTATGTCCAACCATGCCCTACCCCTCCACCAGGGTAACCACTACTTTGGAGCTTCTGTTTGTCATATCTTTGCATCTTTCCTTTTTGATCATGTCCATAAAGTGCACCTTTATCATGTGTCTGCAGGTGATTGCTGAGAGCCTGTCAGTAATCCTTAGGAGCATCCTGACAGCTTTTCTTGTACTGTGGTTGCCTCTCTGGGGATTGTACATTTTCTCTTTGGCCCAGGTAAGAGTCATGGCTATTAACTTTTTTTTTAATCTAATCTGAGTTTCTCTGCTTTTTCTTCTTGTTTGCACTACTATATGTTTCACATTTACAGTATTCATGCATGTAAGGAGGAATGTAAATGTCCGAAGTCTGGCCTTACCACAACTTCTCTGGCTGCCATGGTCATCCTGTTCCATACACTGACACGGCTGATGTTTTTAGAGTCCTGGAGATGGCCACACACTTCGCCACCTTGTCAAGAATCAAAAACTCCTTTTAGACATTCTGTAGGAAGGCCCATATCAAACTGATCTTTGATTGTCTGAAAGTCTTATGGAGGAGAAAAAAACAGTAAAGGGTGGGAATCGAATTGCATGTATTATTTTCCCTGGAGTTCAATCAGTTGTTTGCAGAATAGGAGGAAACTCTATCAAGCCTGTTTTAAATTTAGATTGAAATCTCATATAATTCAGAGAAAATGAATCAAGTCAGAGCAGGTACATTTTTCAGTTTTAGCAATTTTTATTTCATTTCCATTTCATCTTTTTCTAGTTCTAGTTCATATTTATGTTTCTAATAAAAATATAACTAGAGTACAGGCCCTATTTTAAAAATGAAACCTAAGATTAAATATATACCAGAATATAGTTTATATAAAGCAATGTATAGTTTTTATTAATGTATTGGAGACAAATTAAGATTCTTAGTAATCTATGTGAAATTCTTTCCTGTGTTTTAGGCAAATTTACATATAATTTTGTGGAACACTGAAGATCTAGATTTAAAATGAGTAAAATAAGAATGTACATTGCCTATAAAAGCAGTTTGCAGTTAGTTGCATATTTTGGAGAAGTTATCTGAGGTTATTTTTTTTGCCATTTATTGGGTCTAGAACTACATCACTTACAATTGTTTTTGTGCACTTTCTCTAGTAGGATAGGAATATCATGGAGACACCCAATTATAGGTTGAGTTTTCTTGGAAGGCATTTGCATTATGAGTTTCTGGTTGTCATAGCTTTTACCCAGATCACATCATAGATTATAGTTCAGAGTCTGTGTGAGAGGTCTGAGAGCCAGTAAAACTTCATAACAGCAGGTGAGCACTGAATCCCCATTGTCAAACCTGCCTTCTGGTTTCTCCTTATTCTGGTTCTATGTCCCATGGCATCAGATGTCAAATAAAAGGGTTACATTAGGGAAAAAAAAACACAATTTGCAGGGAGGGTGTCCTGAGGATTGAACCCAGGGGAGTTTTACCATTGAGCTACATCCCCAGCCCCTTTTATTTTTTATTTTGAGCTAGAGTGTCACTGAGTTGCTTAGAGCCTTGCTAAGTTGCTGAGGCCAGCCTCAAACTTGTGATCCTCCTGCCTCAGCCTTCTGAGTGCTGCTGGTATAATAGGAATGTGACAAGGCTTAAGACAATAACGTGTGTGTGTATCTGTATCTGTGGTACTGAGGACTGAACCAAGAGCACTCTACCACTGAGCTACAGCCCCAGCCCTTTTAATTTTTTATTTTGAGACAGAGTGTCACTAAGTTGCTAGTCTCAGATCTTAACCTCCCGAGTGGCTCTAAGCAACTTAGACACATCTGACATAATGAGTAACTCTTACAATTCAACAGTAAATAGAGAAACCACTCAATTAAAAAATGGGCAAGGCCTGATGGCCCAATTACTGTAACTCCAACTACTCTGGAAATTGGCTGAGGCAGGAGGATCGAAAATTCAAGATCAGCTTGGGCAACTTGGTGAGATCTTATTTCACAATAAAATTAAATGGACTGGGGATATAGCTCGGTGGTAGAGAGTACTAGCCTAGTATGTTTGAGACTCTGGGTTCAATTCCTAATACCACCAAAAAAAAAAAAAAAAGACAAAAAAATCCAACAACACAGTAGGTACCACTTCATTCCCATTAGGGTGACAATTTTTTTAAAAATAAATTTTTAAAAAAACAGAAAATAACAAGTAATTGTTGAGCATGTGGAGAAAATGGAATCCTAGTACATTGCAGGTGGGCATGTGAAATGCTGTGGTTGCTATGAAAAAATAATATGTCGGTTCTTCAAAAAGATAAACAAGCTAGGCCTGGTGGTACATGCCTATAAACTCAATTACATTGGAAGATGAGGCAGGAGAATCTAGTTCAAGGCCAGCCTTAGCAACTTAGTAAGACCCCTATTTCAAAATAAAATTAAAAAGAAAAGGGCTAGGGTTGTAGCTCAGTGATAGAGTGCTTGCCTACCATGCATGAAGCTGTAGGTTTAATCCCCAGTACCACACACAAAAAGTTAAAACAGGAATATCACATGATCCAGCAGTTCTACTCCTAAGTATATATACCTAAGAGAAATAAAAGCAAGCATTTAGGGTTGGAGTTGTGGCTCAGTGATAGAGTGTTTGCCTAGCAAGTGTGTGGCACTCAGGTTTGATTCTCACTACCACATAAAAAATAAATAAAATAAAGGTATTGTGTCCATCTACAGCTAAAAATTAAAAAAAAAAATTTTTTTAAAGAAAATAAGTGTTTAATAAAAATTTGTTCCCAAATGTTTATAATGATACCATTTGCAATAGCCAATAGGTAGAAAAAGCTCACATGTCTATCAACTAATGAATGAATGGATAAACAAAATATGTTATATTTATATGGTGGAATATTATTTAGCTATAAAAATGAAATACTGATATATAATACAACATAGATGAACTTTAAATATATTAAACTAAGTGAAAGAAGTCAGATACAATAAGGCCACCCATTGTATGCTTCCATTAACATGTAATATCCAGGATAGGAGAGTCTGTAGAGATTAGAGTAGATTAGTGCTACTGGGGAATGGGGGAGTGGGCAGTAGCTGCTTAATGGCTACAGAGATTCCTTTGGGGGTGATAAAAGTTTTCTGGAATTAGTGATGATGATTATACAACAGCATTTATGTATTGAAAGCCTCTGAATTGTGCACTTAATACAGTTAAAATGGTAAAATTTTTTATTATGTGAATCTTTCCTCAAGTGGAGGATGCCAGGTGCAGTGGTGCAGCCTATAATCTCAGTGGCTCCTGAGGCTGAGGCAGGAGGATTGTGAGTTCAAAGCCAGCAACTTAGGCCCTAAAAAACTCAACGAGACCCTGTCTTTAAATAAGATACAAAAAAGGGATTGGGGATGTGGCTTGGTGGTTAAGCACCCTGGGTTCAATCCCTGGTACCCCCCCCCCCCAAAAAAAAAAGGCTCTGGTCAGCTGGAAAGTGAGGAAAGGCAGAGAAGGGCACACTTATCACAGGGAGCTTTAAGATGGGGGAGTATGGCCATAGAAGTGCTTCTTGTCTTTTAAAGACTTGGGGGCTAAAGGAAGACTGGTAAATGGTGGTCTCTGCCCTCAGGAATGAAAGCATAGGAGCCCTAACCTGCTAAACTACTTGCCATGTGTCCTTTTATAGGAACAGCCTTGGTGTGGCCAGGTTGATTGCAGAGCCTGGAGGTCCCAGCCCTTGAGCACTGCCATTCTCAGGAGGGAAAGAGAATAGAAAGGAGCTTGTGAAAAGGGGCCCTTTTGGATACTCCTTTTCAACCTTCACACCAAAGCCTGGCTTCTGCTCCTGGCTAGAAGCCATTCTTTTGTCCTACATAGGTGGAGGGAGAGCTGGGTCTCTTATTGTCTCACCCTTTTCTCCCACAGCTCTTGCCCTACCCATGCATTGGGTGTAGAGGAGAGCGAGCCAAAAGCTCAATTCTGCTTTGTAATCATAAATGTCACGGATTTCCAGGTTTTATGGAAAATCCACAGTCCTAGAGGAAGGCAAGTTCCTGGCTGTCAGCACATTTTGGCACCTGGATCTTCCAAATACAGACCTTGTGAGAACTTACTTATCTGACATTATGGCATTTGAGCTAGTGTCTGCCTGTCTTAGAAATTTTGTTCTCCTGGTTAAGTGAAGTGTTTGGAACATTGGAGATGCTGCAGTGCAGCTGGACCTGAATGAGTGGTATTGTCTTCCAGAGGATGAGGCCTGCTCACTAGAAAGTGCAGTTAATTAAGACAGTTCTATTTTTTGATTGACCTTTGGGGCCAAAATTATAGTCATATCAGTTATGCCTATGTTAAAGCAGTTTAATTTCAACCCATTGTTTTCTTTTTTCAGCTTTTCTATACTTCCGTTCTGGTGCTCTGCTATGTTATTTATTTCACAAAGTTACTGAGTTCCCCAGAATCAACCAAGCAACACACTCTTCCTGTCTCCAGAATAACAGATCTGTTACCCGATTTTACCAGAAACAGGGTAAGTAATGTATTTTGTCTGATTATTTTAAATCACAGGTGATGGTTATCCTTGAGAGAAAGAAGCTGTAACTAGTTTGTTATAGTTGGAAATATTATTTATTCATTTATTTATTTATTTAGGTTCATACTGGGGCCTTAAGCATGCTAACTAAGTAGGAACTCTACCGCTGAGCTACATCCCCAGTACCCCCTCCTTTTTGGGGGGAGTGTGGGTTAAACCTGGGGTCTTGAGCATACTAAGCAAGTGCTCTACCATTGAGTCACATCCCCAGCACCCCCAGCCCTCTTTTAAATTTTATTTTGAGACAGGGTTTTACTAAGTTGCCTAGGCTGGCCTTGAACTTGCAATCCTCCTGCCTCAGTCTCCCAAGTAACTAGGATTATAGGCACGGGCCCATTAGAAAGATAATTTTTTAAAATTTCATATTTTCTCTTTGTTATTAATAAAGTATCTTTTATTTTTTTAAAGAGAGAGAGAGAATTTTTTAATATTTATTTTTTAGTTTTTGGCGGACACAACATCTTTGTTTGTATGTGGTGCTAAGGATAGAACCCGAGCCGCACGCATGCCAGGCGAGCGCGCTACCGCTTGAGCCACATCCCCAGTCCAGAAAGATAATTTTATAGCTCATAATTATAGAGTACTTGCTATGTGCTAGGCCAATGTTTCCAGATCTTACTACTAGTGGCATCTTGGTCTGAACTTGTTGTAGGAACTGCTGTGTGCACTGTAGAATATATAACAGGATCACTTTATTTGCCTGGAGCTTCTGCAACTTCCTACTAGGTGCTTGTAGCAATAGCCTCCAGTGTAACACCCAGAAACTGCTCTGTCTTTTGGTTTTTCCTTGAATTGAAATGTCATACAAGTTCTAAGAAAGCTAGGTGATACCAATAGTTTCTTTATCTAGGTGTGAGCCCAGTCTTTCACATGATCAACCTTCCCATCTAGACCACTGAGGTCTGATACTTATCTGTGGAAGTGAAACATGATCTTTTTCTGCTCAACTCCTCTCTTGGTCCATTTGCCTTGTTTTCTGGCTGTGGTGGGGGCAGTGCTACTGTTCATTGCCCAGAGTTGCACATGAAATGGTCCACTGCACTGCCTCTGCTCAAGTGCTCTATAAACTGCTCTGTGCTGGGCATGTTTCCTTTTCCCCATACTTGTTTGCTTACTGGACGTAGTGTACTTTGTTGTGGTAAGTCACCCACTGGACTTTTTAGTCTTCTTTTGTGATTACTTGAAAAGTAGCCAAATATGTGGGACTTAAGTTTCAGAATTTATGGAATCCTGTTATACAACTTTTCAGGGAAAACTAGATATTAAGTGTCAAAGTGACATATGTTTTTAGTTATTAGGAAAGCTTTCCATTCTGATTACTGATCTTAAGTCAACATGACAATTTTGGATACCACTGTGCCTCATCTGCAGGCTTAGATGGTTAGGACTCTGGATCATTTTTCTTGCATGGAGCGTCTGCCCCTGGCCCATAGAGCAGGTCTGAGCACAGAAGAGTTTCTTCTCTGAGTTCTCCCAGTGCCCAGCTTTACCAAGCCTGGCCAGCTTTTTATACTGGGCCAGCCCCTGTGTCTCAGCATTATTTAGTAAAGGAGCATGTGAAACTGTTAATATAAACAAAAAGAGAAGGTAATAAAACAAGTCCGTCAAGTGTTTATTAACTATCATGGTCTTAGAACGCTGAACCTCAGTTTCTTTATCTGTCAAGTAGGGATAATAATAATCCTTACCATCTAACATTATTTTGAGAGCCTGATGAAATGGGGGCATTTCAAAAGTGCTCAAGGCTGTGTCCTGGCATGAGTGGGTGACACTAAACGATAGTTTTGTCACTACCATTACACTACTGCTTTGAGAGCAGAGTTGGCTTTGACAGAGGACCCTAGCAAGCAAACACTGATGCCAGTGTTGGGATAAAAAGTCCCACCTCATGGAGCCTGATGTAGGGATCAAATGAAAGAAAATGAGACACTAAAAGCTTCCACCAGAAGCAATTAGATCAAGGCACTATTCAAAAACCTTTCATTAGGCTCTAATTCTCCTGAATTAAGCCCAAACTCGACAGCCCAAATCTGTTACATTCCTGCATCATTCTGTTGGAATTGAGAATTCAAAGATGACTGGTGTACTTAGGTGGCTGGACAGGGAGAAGAGAGAGAAAGAAAAGGTGAACAGAGATTATGAAGGGAGGTAAACCTGGCCTGCTGAGCTGGGTCAGGTAGTAGTGACCTCAGTGCTGTGATTTTCAGATGAGAGAATCAGGGCTTAGTAAAGTTAGTTATCTTCCCTGGCCTTTGGACTGTGTCAAGAACAGAAGCTTGAGCCCCATTCTCCAAGCTTGAGCCTGAAATGTGAACCTACTATGAGAAGAGTGGGCTAGAGAAAAAGACGTGAAAAAGTTCAGTAGGAGCCTCCTTAATTGGCCAGGTGAGACACAATGAGAGCAGGGGGAGGGTGGTTGGAAATGGGAATGGACAGGCTGGGGCAGAGTCAACAGCTCTGGGATGACCTGGGCAAGTGGAGCAAGGTGTTGAGAGCCACAGCCTAAGGGGCCCCAGCAAACTTCCAGCTGCCAGCAAATTGGCTCACAGCGGCCCCAGCAACATCTAGCTGATTGGCTCCTCGGCCCCAGCAACATCTAGCTGATTGGCTCCTCTGCGGTGATGCTCATTGGACTGTTTCCCTGCCCTTTCAGACCACGGAGCTGCTCATTGGGGGACTTTTTTGGCTCCGCCCACGTGACCCAGCCAATCGGCCTCAAGAGCAGGAGGATTGGGGGAGGTGGAGAGAAGCTTGTGTGGGAGAGAGAGGCTTGTGGAAAGCCGGTGGTGGCAGTTGAGGCTCTGAGGGTTTTTCCTGAGAGGCTGTTTTGTTTGGCGTGTGTGGTTCTAAAAATAAAGTTAGTTTCTTTTGACAAGTGGCTCCTGATTGTGCCCAGCCAGACTGCGGCAGCAAGGGGTAAAGGAAACAATGCTGTGTGGGGCTGTAGTGGTGATGGAGGGCAAGGGCAGGAGTGTGGCCTCATGCTCTCTGGTGACTCTTGTCAGTGCGAGAAGGATGTGGCTAATTGGATCATCCTAAGTCAGAGGAGTTTGGGAAGTGGAAGAGTGACTCAAGCTAAAGCTAGATGAGGTTCTTTTATTTTTAAAAAATATTTTTAGTTGTAGATGGACACAGTACCTTTATTTTATTTATTTATATGGTGTTGAGGATTGAACCCAGTGCCTCACGTGTCCAAGGCAAACGCTGTACCATTGAGCTACAACCCCAGCCCTTTGGTGTTACTGCCCATCACCTTTCACTTTTCAAGACTCATTTTCCCCATCAATCAGGGAAGCTGTGGAATGGCTTAGATTTTAGAGAAATTCACTTCTATTTAGACCACATCAGCAGAACCAACTCAGCTTTGTGGAATAGGTCTTTTTTACCATCCCAAGTGAGAAATTCATTCTGAATAGAATGGTAGAAGTCCACAGAATTTCTCCCACTTAGTAGACACCCCCAAGTTGAACCCCCATCTCAGATTGGACTTAACTGCCAATGTATCCTTAATGAGCACTTTGTGGAAGCGGCAGTAAGCAGTGTGACTGTTCCTTCTGAACCACAGCCCATTTAAATTGAAGGCATTAGGAGAAAGGAATCAATGAGCATAAACTTTTCAGATTGGATTCCCTGTCATGATTTTACACTCCTAATGAACTTTTTCTTTGAAGAACTCATATTCCCAAAGCCATTCACAACCAACTGGCAAGAGGAGTTCACCAATGCCTCATGCATAAGCTGCAACTTTTTGTTTCTTTTGAAAAGAGCACAGGTACTGCTGTACAGACCCCTCAGAGGGCCATCCACCATTGCTTGGGCCAGGAAGTACTGTGAGGGAAATGGCGGTGCCAAGCTTCCCCCAGAGCTGGGCAGAAACAGCATTTGTAGATGAGTGGTCCATAGCATCCCCTAGTGGTGGTAACTTGTCAGGTGCCCTTTGTTCTTGGGGGAGGAGATGATGGCCTGTTTTAAACATCTTGTGGCCCATTTTCCTTCTCACCAGGGAATATTTACTCTGGGGCTTGAGCTTCCTGGCATCTGCTGTAGGTTTGGTGATGCCCTGAAGGCAGCACAATTCCAGAGGATTCAGACCTGTTTTCCCACTGTTTAGAAGGGAAGTTCAGGTGAGGAGAATGGGGGCTGAAACCACTTGCTTAAGAGATGCTGTAGATTTGCCCTGTCCTAAATGGTAGCCACCAGCCACATGTGGCTATACAGCATTTTGGATCATGGCTGGTCTGAATTGGGATGAACTGTAAATGCAAGAAATATACTGGATTTTGAAGACTCAGTTTGAAAAAAATAATGTGAAATGACACACACATATAAATATATACATATATATTTATTTGATATTTAACATTGATTACATGTTGAAAGAATGATATTTTGGGTTAAATAAAATATGTTAAAATTAATTTCACCTGTTTCTTGTTCACATTCACTGAGACTGCTAGAAAATTGAACATTACATTTCAGCTGGATAGCATTGCTATACACAGATAAGCTTTGGGTCAAGAATAGGGGCCCATGTGACTGGGCAGGTTCCAGGAATGCTCTTGCATCCACTTCCACAGCTGAGGCTGACCTCTTGGAGAGATGACATGGGCTTGGCCTTTGTGATTCACCCCTTACCAAAGAGCCCTTTGAAATCCCACCATTTAAAAGTCATCACTTCAGATAATCAAAAATGTTCAAAATGCAGATATCCTAGGATTAAGAACCTACAATCTTGGGCTGGGGATGTGGTTCAAGCGGTAATATGCTCACCTGGCATGCGCAGGGTGCTGGGTTCAATCCTCAGCACCACATAAAAATAATAAAGATGTTGTGTCTTCTGAAATCTGAAAAATAAATTAAAAAAAAAAAGAACCTACCATCTAGATTGAATTTCTGGGATTCCAAGATGCTTGTGTGATAGAGGAGGGGCCCCAGGGGAACTAGGGGAGATTAACTAGCCATCCCTCTATTCCATTTTATGGTTAACTCTCTGGCTTTAAAGCCACGTGTCTCATACATTGACCTTTACTTTGAGTATTTGCTTCCTTCTTACCCTCTTTGTCCTTAGAAGATAGAGAGTTTGGTGCCTCCAGGAACTTCAAAAGAATAATATCAGAACTTTTGTTTTTTCCTTTCCTCTGTTATACTAATTTCAAGTGGTTTACTTGACCTTAGAAGGCTGAATTTCTTTTGAAATTACAAGCATATCTCATATGCTTGTGTAAAAGGACCCTAGGTGGCCTATTAGGATGTGGAGCAGAATTTATACTGTTGACTGGTGTACTTCAGATGTGTATATGCATGCGTGTGTTACTTGAACCCAGGGGTACTCTACCACTGAACTATATCCTCAGTTCTTTTTATCTTTTAGTACAGGGTTTCACTAAGGTGCCCAGGCTGGCCTTGAATTTGTGATCACTTTACCTCAGCCTACCAAGTCATTGAGGTTTCAGGCATGTTACCTAGACAGACTATTTTAAAGAAAGGAACTCACTCTAAGCTGTATGTGTTAGACGTGGTCAGTGTCCTGTCTGAGTTTCCAAGGATCATAGTGGTTCTTTAGAGGTCTTTGTGTATAAATGTTGGGTATGCTCTTTATAGACTTTCTGTTTGTATTTGATAATTGGGTTAGTCAGCTTTCTGTTTCAATAACAAATACCGGAGATAAGCAACTTATCAAGAGATAAGGTTTATTTTGGCTTATAGTTTTAGAAGTTTCAGGTCCATGATGTATTGGCCCAGTTGCTTTGGGCTTATGTCAAGGTAGAAGTGTGTGGCAGAATAAAACAGCTTACCTCATGGCCCGGAAGCTAGAGAAAGAGGAAGAGTCTAGAACCCCACAATTCCATTCATAAGTACACTGTCAGTGACTTACTATGCTTCATCTCTGAGAGGTTCTACCACCACCCAAGAGTGCCATGCGGGGGTCCAAGCCTTTAACACATGGCCTTTGGGGTACATTCAAGATCCAAACTATAGCAGTAACATAAAGTCTTTTCTAGTATTTGTGGATGCCTTCTGTATGCTTAATGTTAAATAAGAATTCAGTGGGAACTATTCCAAGTTGGAGTTTAGGGACCAGATTGAGTTTGCCTCTCATGTAGCATTATATTCTAAGCCTTGAAATACCCAGGATTTTAACATTGTTTTGTTTTTGTTTTCTAGGATTTTGTAAATTGGAAAGAGGCTAAATTAACCTGGAGTTTTTTCAAGCAGTCTTTCTTGAAACAGATTTTGACAGAAGGTAAGTACAAGGTTACTCTGAGCAGTCAGGAGATCATGGTAGAAATAGAGGGATTTCACAGAACTGTTGATCAAAACTACCTGTCTGGAGCCCCCTTGGCAGAGGACCCTCAGAATTTTTTTAAATTTTTTTAATGAGAGGGAAAACAACATTTATTTAGTTTTATGCTTTACTTAAGTTGCCTAATTTAAATCTCTCTACAGCCTCATTAAAGACATTTCCCCCTTTATTATGGATAAGGAAACTGAGTGTCAGTGAGGTTGTAGAATTTTTTTCAGGGTCCTACAGTAATGAGGAACAGTTTAATTGGAATCCAAGTCTGAGTTAGTCAGCTTTCCATTACTATGAAAAAATACCTAAGCTAATCAACTTAAAAGGAGAAAGGGTTTATTTTGGTTCACAGTTTAAGGGGTTTCATTCCATGGCCACTTGTCCCTGGTGCTTTGGGCCTGTGGTAACACAGTACATCATGGCAGGAGCCTGTGGCAGAGGAGGCTTGTTCATCTCATCACAGCAGGGAAGCAAAGAGAGAGACAATAGTGGTCTAAGGTTCCAGTATCTTCTTCAACAGTGTGCCATCACAACCTGACTTCTTCCCACTAAGCCCCACTCCCTAAAGGTCCCACTACCTCTCAGTCATGGGCTGAAGACCAAGCAGAGCCAAACTATCAAAGTCTAACTATAAAACCAGGTGGTATATCATTTTAACAGAGTTGTTATAAAAGTGTTATCAATTACAGAAAACTTTGGAGATAGGGGAAACTACCCATGAATTCATAATTCCAATTTTTTAATATAATTTTTCTTTCTTTTTTTTTTCAATATTTTTAAGAACCAGGTTTTCATCGTTTTATTTTCTTACTCAAGATTGACCCATGTGATAGTTTGGTCAGATATCTGACTTCTGACAGAACTCCTAATGCAGAGGCCCTGACAATGAGCTGAAAGCATAATATATGTGTTGATTTTTACTCAGCTTAAATTCAGAGAATGAAATTTGAGGTAGCTATAAGGAGCTGGAAAGTGGAGGGTTTTTTCCTACATACAGATTTGATGTCAGTAGATCTGCATATCTGTTACTGAACATATTTTTTTATCTTTTCAAAATTATCCTTTTTTTTTTTTTTTTTTTTGGTACCAGGGATTGAACCCAGGAGCACTTAATCATTGAGCCATATCCCCAGCCTGTTCTTTTTATTATTATTATTATTTTTTTTTAAATATTTATTTATTTTTTAGTTTTCAGTGGACACAACATCTTTGTTTGTATGTGGTGCTGAGGATCGAACCCGGGCCACACGCATGCCAGGCGAGCGCGCTACCGCTTGAGCCACATCCCCAGCCCATATTATTATTATTTGAAGACAATGTCTTGTGCTAAGTTGCTGAGGGTCTTGCTGAGTTACTGAGGCTGGCTTTGAACTTGTGATCCTTCTGCCTCAGCCTCCCTAACCACTGGGATTACAGACATGCACCACCATACTCAGCTCAAAATGATCTTTTAGTTATAAAAGTAATATAATCCTATTACAAAAATTCTAAAAACCAGAAAATATAATCCTAGTATTCTAAAACAACTACTCTCACTATTATCTTGTTATTTTCTTCTCCCCATATTTGTGTTTTGTTAATTATGACTCCAAAGGGAAGTAATTTACTTCCCCCCAGGTCTCTTTTCCTATCTATGAGCTGAGAGAGGACCAAGAGGGGCCTAAGGGCCCTCTGAGCCTTGAGAGTGCATGCTTCCAGTCTGAGCTTATGACTGCTGGTACAAAAGTTAAACTATTCGGGGGATTTCTGGGTCAGAAACCTTGAGAGAGCTGGCTCCTAGAAAGCAGGGATTCTCCCTGCTGGGCCTGGCACACCACAGATGTTCAGCAAGTATTTGTTGATAGAGTAAGAAGAGTGGCAACAGAAGAGAACTGTAGCAAAATTGTGTGTTGTGGTAGTTCACATTGTGATTAGAACAGAAAAATCAATGGAGAAAGTTTTGGTAAGGATGTTGTTTGTACTTTTTTCTTCCCAAAGTTTTAAGAGCAGTTTTAATGAGTTTGAGGGAGTTGGATCCAGTCTACATGATGTTCTTCAATTCATTGTACAGATTGCAGTTGCTAGACATGTGTTTTGCAACATTTAATTAAGCCATTCACTAAAGCCTCCTGAGCTTGTCCTGAGCAAATCCAGGTACTTGCCCCACAGTTGGGCCATACTAATATGACTTCCTTTCTTGCAGAAGGCCATTAGGAACTTCTCAGGGCCTCCATCTCTATGGCTAGAAAATAAGGAAGTAGGCTGAATGACAACTTAGGTTTCTTTTATCTTTAAAAACTACAGCTCTGAGTCATGTTCCGTGGTGCACACCTGTATCCCAACAACTCTGGAGGCTGAGATAGGAAGATCATAAGTTTGAGACCAGCCTCAGTAACTTAGGGAAACCCTGTCTCAAATAGAAAATAAAAAGCATTGGGAATATAGGTGGTAAAGCTCCCCTGGGTTCAATCTTCAATATAAAAATAATAATAACAATAATAATAATAATTATGGCTCTACAAAAAGTTAAAATAACTGTGTAGTAGCAAAAACGTATGTGCTCCTCCCTTCTGCCCCCACATTTCCTGCAGCACTGTATGCAAGGTGCTGAGACTAGAGATGAAGAGTAACAAACAGACCGTGACCTCAAGGAACTCATTCTCTCACCAGTTGCACACATCATGTGGTTAACCATTTCAAGACTGTGGGACTGTACTTGGAAATGTTAACTCAATCATTAGAAGTCTCTGGAGTGCCTCTCATTTCCTGGATCTCTGCTAGGAACTCAGAGACAGAGATAACTGAGAGGAGTCTTCTGCCCTCAGGAAGCTGGTAGAATATGAGGAGAGGCCTATGCTGCCAGAAGGTAGGGAAAAAGCCAGTCTGGGTTGTAAAAATGCCCTAGGTAGGCCCAGCCTGACTCTAAGCAGCAACTGGAGGCTAACCCCAGATAGGTAGGTGACAACAGAGGATGACAGTGTGATAGGGATGAGACTGGTGAAGAGAGGCCACAAAGATAGTGTGTAAAAGCCCTCATACACAGAATGAAGAAGTCCAGACTTTTTGCAAACACTAATGAGCCATTTGAAGCCATGTGAAAGCAGGGTACAGTTGTTCCTTGGTATCCTGAGAGATCGGTTCCAAGGTCTCTCCCTGCCAACAATGGATAAATCTAAAATCTGAGGATGTTCAAGTCTCTTATGTAAAATGGTGTAGTATTTGCATATAATCTAGATATATCCTTCGTCTACTTTAAATAATCTCTAGAATACTAATAATACCTAATGTAATATAAATGCTATGTAAATCATTGTTAAACTGTATTGTTTAGGGATTGATGATAAGAAAAGAAGATTTGTACATGTTCAGATGCAGTTTTTTTTTTTTTTCCCCCTGAAATGTTAACAGGGTAGATCAGAGATACAGACCTGGGAGGACCTTCAGAGGTCTTTGCTACATATACTTGTAAGGAGACAAGATCAGAGAGAGGAGAGTCTTGATAGAAGATGGAAATTTAACCTCTTAATTAATGCTTTCTTCTATGAGCATTTTCTAGGAGGTGAGAACTTGCCCTTTTAGGCTCTGGGCACTGTTTAGTGCTGTCTTTTTAAGAGTTAGTGCTTTTCACTTATGGATAAGAAAATTCATAGAATGGGACAGAGTTGCTCCAGGGTGGTGTCTTCATCTTGAAGGCATTGGGCTGCCTTAGATTTGAGGATGAACTGAGCTTCCAGAACCTCCAGGCCCTGGGGAGTAGGGGCGGGTCTCTCCACCTGAGAGGAAGTGGAATGAGCATGTGCCACTGTCATGGACATTTCCCTTCACAGATAATTTACACTGTGGTTATTTCACCCGCTTAAGACTTGGGACATACTGGGAATGTAGCTTAGTGGTAGAGTGCTTGCCTAGCTTGTATAATGCCTAGGGTTCTGTTCTCAGCACTGCAAAAAACAAATAAACTTGTGACAGTTGTTTAGTAATTTCTCCATATTTTATTTTTAATTTATTAGATTGGTTTTATTGGTTGGTTTTTAATTTAGCTGGCTTGGAGATTTGCTGTTAATAAAGCCCTCAGCATTGTCCAAATTATGAGATTACTTGAAATCAGCATTAGGACAAGGAACATGTCTGTAACCGATTATCTGATTTTTCTTCTTTGAGGGTATTCGTCCACCTGAAAAGCTGATAAATGATAAGAGTAAAGGAAATTAATTTATGCATTGAAAATGCTAATTATTTTGCTTTTCCATTTATAGGCGAGAGATATGTGATGACATTTTTGAATGTTTTAAATTTTGGTGATCAAGGTAAGATGAAATTCTATAGTGTTTTAATTAAAGGTGAATACTATTAATAGATACTTCTTAATATCTTTCTTTGTGGTTTGACATATTTAGTGAAAAATGAATCTGAACACTATTATAAATGAATTTTAAAAAAAAATATTTATTTTTTAGTTGTAGTTGGACACAATACCTTTATTTTATTTACGTATTTTTATGTGGTGCTGAGGATTGAACCCAGGACCTCACATGTACTAGGCAAGCACTCTACCACTGAGCCACAACCCCAGCCCCTAGAAATGAATTCTTAAGATTATAAATTGTACATCTTTGTATAAACATATACAGTGTACTGACTATGCCCTCTTGTGTAACTTGAGTGGCAAGTTATTGTTGGGACCCTTTTGCCTTCTGCTTCCTCCTGAGCTGTGGTGCTCATTTTGGGGGTTGGAAGTGTGCTAGGAGAGAAGAAAAAGGGAATTCACTATCACAGTAATAAAGATCTGTCCTGGGTTTAAGTGGCTAAATAAGTCTTTCTCCGTTTTTTTTTTTTTTCTTTTCCATATTTATTTATACCAAAGAAATGAAAAAAACAATTTAAAAAGCAACTTTACTTTTATTAAAAAGTGCTAGATAGAAGATCTTGTCGATTGTGTGAATGTCAGCATCTTGATTGATATCGTATTATAGTTTTGCAAGATGTTACCATTTTGGGAAACTGGGTAATGGGTACATGGGCTCTCTGGATTATTTCTTTAACTACATGCAAAGCTAAAATTATCTCAAGATTTTTAAAAAGTTTAATTAAACATATTTACCGTTTTAATAATGTTGTGAAAGTTAAAATAGAAAAACAAATATGATTGTCATTTCTTTCTTTTTGTTTTATAGGTGTATATGATATAGTGAATAATCTTGGGTCCCTTGTGGCCAGGTTAATTTTTCAGCCAATAGAGGAGAGTTTTTATATATTCTTTGCTAAGGTGCTGGAGAGGGAAAAGGATGCCACACTTCAGCGGCAGGTAATCTTGGTTCTCATGCCTATCATCTCTCAAATGAACTTCTATCTAATTGCTAGACAAACAGAAATGTGGAATGGTCTATTTCCCTTTTGTTTGATATGAAATGTTCTTCTAGTTTTCATTTTTCTATCACATTCTGGCAGATGGCAGCACCCAAGCTCATTTCTGTTTCCTGACCTTTACCCTCTCCTCCTGGCTGTCCCCTTTTGTCTTACCCCTTTGTCCCTTTGTATGACCTTACTTTTGACCCAGCCCTCCCAGCTTTTTTTTTTTTTTTTTGGCTACTGGGGACTTAACCCAGGGGCACTTAATCACTGAGCCACATCTCCACCCCTTTTTATTTTTTTATTTTGAAACAAGGTCTCTCTAAGTTGCTGATGCTGGTTCAAACTTGCAGTCCTCCTGTCTCACAGGCGTACACTACCATTCCTGGCTTCAGAGTTCTTTATAGTTGTCCCCAGTGCAGCACAGAACACCCACCCATGGCTTAGTTTTAGGTATAAGAATAAGATAGTCTCTCCTATTCTCAGATTCTCAAGAACCAGAGGGCCAGGTGCAGTGGCACACACCTGTAATTCCAGCAACTTTGGAGGCTGAGGCAGGAGGATCACAAGCAACTTGAGGCCCTAAGCAACTTGGCAAGATCCTTCCTCAAAATAAAAAATAAATAAATAAAAAAAAAGGGCTGGGGGTGTGGTTCCATGGTTAAGCACACCTGAGTTCAATCCTTAGTACCAAAAAAAAAAACCCCAAAAAACCAGAGGATGCCAAGGTTGGAGCTGGGCTAACCTACAGCATAGGGAAGAAAATATGTGGTCACAGGGCTTCTCTCACCACACCAATTATATAAGTTTTTTAAAGACTGTGTCTGACCAGGGCTACATTCTGACCCTAAAAATCTGTGTACTCTGGTTGGTCAATACGAAGAGATTTTAATCCAGGAGCATTTGGTTATAGAAACTACTTTTTCTAAAATCATTGAAAATGTCTGACGTATCTTAGAATTCAAAGAAAACAAAATCCATCTCTTACATATGTAAGAAGGCATTTTACAAAGTATAGTTTATACACACAGTATCTCAAGATGAGCTACTTTAGTTCTCAGTCTGGTTTAAGAATATGAACCCAAGTGTACATTGATAATAAATCAATATCTTGAGATATTTGTCAGGAGAAACATGAGCCGGCTGGCATAAATGAAAACTTACTTCATTTTAGAATAAAATATCAGGGCTGGGACTGTAGCTCAGTGGCAGAGTGTTTGCCTAGCACGTGTGAGGCCATTTTACATAAGGGACTTGAGCATCCTCAGACTTTAGATTTATCCATTGTTGGCAGGGAGAGACCTTGGACTCGGTCCCTCAGGACACCAAGTGACCTTAGCACCACATAAAAATAAATAAAGACATTCTGTCCATCTACAACTACAAAAAAAAAAAAAATCTTTTTAATCAGGGTAGAGTGAGTGGTTCATAGTAATATTTAAAATGATTCATTCTAAATGAGTTATCCTTTAGGTACACACTATCCCCACTTTTTTTTTTTTTTCCTGATTGAAAAGAAATGTGCTACAGAAAAGCAGTGAGGTCTTATCTTAATTCATTTGGAAAAATGATCTGTAAAACAGTACAGGGGGAAGGTGAGATGTGAGGGTGTTCTTCAGTTCATGATTTATCCAGCTTTCTTCCCTTTCCCCCAACCCAGGAGGACTTTGCTGTGGCTGCTATGGTTTTGGAGTCCTTGCTCAAGCTGGCCCTGCTGGCTGGCCTGACCATCACTGTTTTTGGCTTTGCCTATTCTCAACTGGCTCTGGATATCTATGGAGGGGCCATGCTTAGCTCAGGATCAGGTATGTGCTGAAGTTTTGTCTAGTTTGTTTTAATTTCCAAACAGAAATAGAAGAGTCTCCTGAAGTTCAAAAATTTGCGCACACTCAGTCAACATCTGTGTTCCTGGAGAGTTGTGGGAAAGCTGGGCTTGTGGGACTGTTCTCTCACTGGAGTTGAGATGTGCATGCTCAGGGTGATCAGTTCCCCAGCCTCACCTGGAGAAGTTATGAATCTTCCTTACAGTTGGCTTTTCCTCGCAGGCCTAAAATGTGTTTTGCCAAGCACTTGCCTGTGCTCCCTTTGGGGCAAGGGAGGAGGGCAGAGAGCAGGCTTTAATGAATCTCCACTTGGTATTAAACACATCTGAAGATAGTAAATGCCACATAAATCCCAGGCCTGATGCATAAAAGCCTCGGAAGGATAACCCAGAGCAATTTGCAGAGAATAAAATTGATCTCAGCAAATAAAATGGTATATTTAATCCACTGACTCTTGGTGTTTGAAGGAGAAAACTATTGAATATGTCTGATGAAATACCTGGTGCCTAGGCTGCTGAGACTCTTATAGCACTTTCTGGTCCTTGGGAACTTCACCAGTTTCAAAATGTGCTGGGCTATAGGCTAGCAATAGTCCATTTGTAGAATTTCATTTTGGATTTAGCAAAGATGTTTTTAATTACTCAGGTCACTAGACAAGAACTTAGAAGATTTTTTTTCTGTTGCCCCATCTCAGTATAATTAAGGGCTTTGTCCAATGCCTTTTTACAAGTTCTTTCACTATTGTAGTTGCCACTATACTGGCGCTTAAACTTTTGGTATTGGGAAAAAATGGCCAAGTTTCTACACTAGAGCAAAGGTCATGAAGTTTGTAGGAACACCTGCTATGAAGCCAATGAAGTGGTTTGCAGCTCCCTGGGGCTTGTGTTGTGAGAAGTACATTTCCATCAGGCAACTGCAGGGAGGCCTCATTAGGAAGCCATTAGTAAGTTTATGTGCAGAGATTGGGGATCAACTGTTTCACAGCAGCTCTGCCCCTTTAGAAAGCAATCACTAAGGGACAGCCTTTTCTGTAACAGTCACAGGATGTTGCCAAGAAAGGCTGTCCCATCATTGTAATGTTCATCTGGTAGAGTAATTAATCACAGAAGAGATACACACAAACTACTATCATTGTGTTGTCCTTTTATTTAAGTGAGGTGCAGGTATGGTTTTGAGCGTCAATAATAGAGTTAGCAATTAAAAGGATCAGAGTTCTGAATCATTAATAATTTTAGACTCAAAATGGTGTTCTCCAGTCTCATCTTCAGAGAGAGCAGTCCTGAGAACAGTTCTTGTTTCTCAGTGTCTTAAAAGCATTGTGGTTTGGTGTGTCACTGCAGGGTATTCAGGACCACTGGCCTCTCTTGCCTAGGCCAGGGTCCCAGCATAACTGCCCCAGCACAGTCTTTTAGCATTTATCTCTGAGTCTTTGGTGCCTCACACTTTTTTGGGGGGGAGGGCGGGTACCAGGGATTGAACTTGGACACTTGACCACTGAGCCACATCCCAAGCCCTATTTTATATTTTATTTAGAGACAGGGTCTCATTGAGTTGCTTAGTGCCTTGCTTTTGCTGAGGTTGGCTTTGAACTCGTGATCCTTCTGCCTCAGCCCCCAGAGCTGCTGGGATTGCAGGTGTGTGCCACCGTGCCTGGTAGTGCCTCTCACTTTGATCAAACTTCCACTCTCTGTAAAGCCCATGTGGCTTCTAGGTAGGGCAGTACTTTTCACAATGTGCCTGCTGACTGTCCCTATCTGTGCTGCCCCTCTTCTCCCTACCTGCTCCTGTCTCATCAGACTGTATCTCCTTAGGCCTTTACTGTACCAGAAAATATAACACTTTTGCTCTCTCCATTCTACCTCATATTCCCCACAACCCCACTTTTTTGTTTTTCAATACTAGGGATTGAACCCAGGTGCATTCTACCACTGAACTACATCCCCAGCCTTTTTTATTTCTTATTTTGAATCAGTGTCTCTCTAAATTGCCCAGGCTGGCCTTAAATTTGCAATTCTCCTGCCTTAACCTTCCAAGTAGCTGGGATTACAGGCATGTACCACCATGCCCAGCTTCTTGATTTTTTAAATTTTTTTTCTTTGTGGCCTTATATTACTTTCCTGGGGCTTCATGACAAAGTACTACAGACTGAGTGGCTTTATTTAATTATTTTGCTGTGCTAGGGTTTGAATTTGTGTATGTTAGGCACGTGTTCTACCACTGAGTTACACTCTTAGTCCCTCTAGTGACTTTATTTTGTTTGTTTGTTTGGTACTAGGGATTGAACCACTGAGCCACATCTACAGCCCTTTTTAATATTTTCTTTTGATAAAGGGTCTTGCTGAGTTGTTCAGGGCATCACTAAGTTGCTGAGGCTGGCTTTGAACTTGCCATCCTCCTGCCTCAGTCTCTTAGGCCACTGGGATTACAGGCATGTGCCACCACACCTGGCCCTTTAGTGACTTTAAATCGCAGAAATTACTGTATCATGCTCCTTTCTGAAGGCTAGAAGTCCAAAATCAAGGTGCCAGCAGGGTTTTGCTCTCTGATAGCACTAGGGGAAGGTCTTTTCTTGCCTCTTCTAGTTTCTGGTGTTTGTCCACAGTCCTGGGTATTCCTTGGCTTGTCCTTGTATCACTTAAGTCATGTGGCCATGTTCTCCCTATTTGTCTTCACATTTTCTTCCCTTTGTGTATATCTGTCTTTTGTCCACATTTCCCCTTTTTGTAAGGATACCAGTCATTGGGTTAGATCTCTTTTTAACTATATTAGCTCTATAAAGACCTGTTTCTAAATAAGATCATATTCTGAGGTGCTAGGAGTTAGAACTTCAGTGTGTCTTATTGGGCGTACGTAGTTCAACCCATAAGATCTCATTTAATTCACAGTTTAAGATTCCATCTTTGAAGTCCCAAATTGTCTCAAAGCTTTCTCTCTTTAGTCACTGCTTCATGCCAGAGTTTGTATTCCTCATGCTTGTAGGCAGCTCACTGTCTATCCTCAGATGGGCTGATGTAAGCTGTTAGCATTCAGTTACCTGGTGAGAGTGACCCTGTTTCTTTCTGCTTTGGCCGGAGAGAGGAGGAGGGGAGAAGCTTATTAGTGATAGAATTGCATTACTTTGTTTGAGAAGGAAATATCATTATTGGCTCTGGTTCTCACTGTGGATTGTGAATGTTCTATCTCAGTAGATCTTTTTCTAGGACCTGCCCAACTGAGATTCCCTTAATATTCAGGGCCACTTGTGTCTTGAGCATTCAAACTATCAGGCCTCCTTGTGCTGATTTTAAAATGAGCAGATTAGCTTGCTTTTAGTTGTTAGATCTATATATGTATTCAGATCTGTATATTTATTCATAACTACTCTTTTGTTTTTAACTGATTATTTTAGTAGTACCATGGAATGCTGGGAGTCCTCCAATATGTATGCATTCTGTCCACTGTTACCAGTAGGTCCCATGGCCCAGTTCTGGTGTTTTCTTAGCATTCAACCAAACTGTGGTAGTATGTAGTCCTATTTGGATCTAGAATCTTGGTGGGTTGTTTCCTTGTAGGTCCTGTTTTGCTGCGTACCTATTGTCTCTACGTCCTCCTGCTTGCCATCAATGGAGTAACTGAGTGTTTCACGTTTGCTGCCATGAGTAAAGAGGAAGTTGACAGGTGGGTAACCTAGAAGGTACACCCTTAATCCTGACCTTTGGCCAAAATGAACTAACTTGCTAATCTTTTTTTATTCTGAACATGTGATGGCTTTCTCAGAGACAATACTAGACCACAAATATGCTGCATCCCCAGGATCTCTACAGCCTGGCATGATTTAGCTAGTACTCCCTATAGTAGGGTCAGGGGACAGCAAATTCTGTGTGCTTCCCTTTGTGGATGGAGAAATGTCATCCCTAAAGTGTCATGATTGTCTAGGTGTACAGAGTCAGGCATACAATAAGGTAGACTTCCATCTCTCCATCCTATTATCCAGCCCCCACTTAGTGGTCCTCAACTCTTGTCATCTATTGACTCTAGATCAGCAACCCTGTTCTGGAACTTCAGTCAGTGGGTCTCAACATTGGTTGTGTGTCAAAATCCTCTGTGGAACTTATTAGAAATGCATATTTCTATCTGCTATATTTGCACTACTCTTTTTCCCATCTTACCTGTAGGAACAGCAGGCCCTTGAGTGTGTGTGTGCATGTGTGCATGTATGTATATGTCAATTATTCTGAGATGAACTCCTGGTTAAGTGCCTTTGGCCCACACCCAGAATCATTCACCTCTTCTGTCCTAAATACCAAAACCTAGCAAGGCAGTATCTTAATGCACCACTATAGGACAAGGTTAAGGAACAGCATAAAAGACAAGAGAGGAAAATAGAGAAGAGAATAGAAAAGGTTGGTGTAGATGGCGGGGTGAGTGGCTCTTGTTATTCAATCACCCCTTGAGGCTTGGATCTCTTGTGTGTTTTCATGCTGCCTCTGTAACCTTGAGTGCTATTGAGAACTCTTTGAGGCCAGGTCATAGAGGCAGGATGGGGAAGGGAGCTCAGAATCAGGAAACTTTTTCTTCTATTAGACTGGCTTCTGTCTGTTCTCATGTTGGGCTGCTTCAAATAGAAGCTATGGTGACTTTGTTTGCCACTAGTGGTCGAGAACTTGTCTAGACCAATGTCCCAACCTAGACCAATGAGATTCTCCTAGGAAATTCTGCTACCTCCCAGACCAATTGAGTTAGAATTTGGGGAGGCTTGAACCAGGGAATCAATTCATTACACATTTCAAGGTGATTCTGATTCTAAGTGTGTGATAACTACCGGCCCAGGCCAGCTTTCACAGTAAACATACATTGAGCTCTGTGACCCAGTAGATACCTCGGTACTGAAGCCAGAATCCACAAAGCAGGAAGTATTCCAGTTATGCACAAGATACAGTGATGCTTTTTATTTCTTCTACTTCATTTTTCAAAATTATCATCTTATAACCTACTGAATTGATTTCTCAGCCTATTAATAGGTCACAACCCATAGTTCTATTTATTTATTTATTCATTTTGTAGTACTGGGAATTGAACCCAGGCTCTTGTGCATGCTAGGCAAGCACTCTGCTACTAAGCTACATCCCAAGACCTACCATAGTTTTAAAATAGTGGTCTAGACATGGTTTTCACCTCAAATAATTAGGTTTGTAGCTATAGAATTGCTTTGAGTCCACTCTTCCCCCACCCCATGGATGAAAAAGTCTAAGTTTACCTTGAAAATACCATTTTTTTTATTTGAAATGCTTCTCACAATTGAATCATTTAAAAATATAATTTGACACAGTAAGTATGGCTTTGTGACATCATAGAAAGAGCTTGGACTAGCAGTCTAGTACTTGAAGGGAATTTTATTGTAATAACTTTAGCATTAGTGTGTGTGGGGGTCAACACTGAATCCATTTAAAATGTAAAAAAGAAAAAAAAAATTGCTGCTCAGCACAGTGGCTCTCACCTGTAATCCAAGTGACTCAGGAGGCTGAGGCAGGAGGATCATAATTTCCAGGTCAGCGTTGGCAACCAAGTAAAACCCTTTCTCATAACAAAAAAATAAAGGTCTAGAATTGTAGCCCAATGGAGAGTGTCCCTGGGTTCAATTTTAATACCACAAATAAATAAAAAACCTTGCAACAAAACCAAGAGGAAATACAGTGGATGGTTGCTTTCTTTTCTTTTATGTTGCACTGAACCAAAGGAAACAACTCTTTAAGTTAGCTATAATGGAATGTTGACAATATTTCAACATCTGGAAAATTGTTTTCATGGTATTAGGAAGCAGAAAAATCAGAGGCCAGAGCACCTTCTAATGCAGTTCTTATCTGATATAACTTTGTTCCCCTTGGAGTAAAATATGACTTTAAGCATGGTCTTCAGACAGCACTCTCAGTTCTGTCTGGGTCCCTGTCCCCAGCCCTCTGCCCTTGACTGAGCATATGGAGCACCCAAGTTCATCATAGACCCTGTTTTTTTTTTTCATCCTTGTGAATTTTTTTTTTTTTTAATATTTTAATATTTATTTTCTCAGTTTTCGGCGGACACAACATCTTTGTTGGTATGTGGTGCTGAGGATCGACCCCGGGCCGCACACATGCCAGGCGAGCGCGCTACCGCTTGAGCCACATCCCCAGCCCCATCCTTGTGAATTTAACCAAATAAAACTGTAGCTTGGATTTTTATAGTAGATTAATAGCTTAAATTAAATGTTACAATCGATTATAATGATTTTACATTGAACAATTTAGATTCAGAATTGAAAAAAGGCATTGATGCAGACGTGGATTTTTATCTAGTCAACTTCAGGTTAACCAGTGTTTTTCTAAATAAAAATAGTGTGGTTAGTTCTGAAATGTTAAGGCTTCCTTTGAATTGCAAGTTGCTCTTTATTTAATAGCCTAATATATAGGATCTGATTGATGGATTTTTCATTATACTGTACTGAAGAATTTTTGTTCTCTTTTGTGTAAGATGTCTCATTTTCTTTCTTGCATTCAACAAAAACTTTTGCGCATTTACTCTCTAACAAGCATTTTTTTTAAGTTTTGGGAATACAGCATTGAAAAAAACAGCTAAGATCCCTGCTCTCCAGAGCTAATGAGAGGCAAACTAGTTAAGAAAGTAGAAAACGTACTGTTTTAAAAAGTAAAATAGGATTATGTAGTGAGTGGTGGGAGGCCATTAGATTGGCTAAGTTGAGGTCTGAATGACCAAACGATGGTCAGAGACAGGACAATGCTTTCTAGGCAGAGGAAGGCCCAAGATTGACAGCTCCTTTGCCTGATTTATTGATCTTAGAGTGCCCTTATATATAAACCACATAACTGTTGAATGAAAAATGACTGTGATCTTCTTGTGCTGATACATAAGAGGTCAGTGCTATCCTTTTTGTATCTGCAGAGGCTCCATTTTACACATTTGTAATCCCAGCAACTAAGGAGGCTGAGGCAGGAGAATCACAAGTTCAAGGCCAGCCTCAACAAGTTAGCAAGACTCTGTCTCAAGATAAAAAATAAAAAGGACTGGGGATGAAGCTCCATGGTAGAGCATCTATGGATTAAATGCTGCCAAAAACAAACAAAATAAAATTCGTGTGGCTGTGATTTAATGTGTTCAGTTAGCAGCTACTAAGGGGTGCTTTGGTCAATACTACAGTCAATACCCTTGACCATCCATTTTCTGGTAAACCTGATTTTAAGTCCAGTATCTTCTCAGATCATGGAGAAATAAACATTCATAAATAAATTGCTATTTATGTTAACCAACCCTTATAAAATAGTCAATGTCAATGATGAATAATTTTGCTTTGATTTTAATAGTGCTGTTTTAATTGCATCTTTAAAGCTCTTTATTTTTTTTTATGAAGTGGATTATGTCTTTAAGGCTACAGATTTGTGACTTCTGAAAAGTTTAGCAGCTACAGAGCCTCTTGTAGTGGAAGACAGTGTGCCTTATCATTCTCAACTCCTCCCAGATGGTCATACCAAAGAGGCTACATAGTTGAATGCTTCTCAGCTTGAATTACTATGAATTAGCTATTGGTTTCATTTATTACTGCCATTTTACTTGGAGTTGTGTGAGGATGACTTTGAAAGTTTTTGAATCTATAGCTCAAACACCAAGGATTGGTGTAGAATACCCTTCTGAAATAGTTCTTGAAAAAAATAACAGATTATATGTCTGCTTCTTTTGGAAAAGAGGTCAAACTCCTGGTCTGTGATGGGTCCCACCTTCAGTGGCTTATTATGAAATGACTATTCTGATTATTTATTATTAGTAAAAAAAAAAAAAAAAAAGCTTCCCTAGTGGAAGATGAGCACAATGGTACATACCTGTGATCCCAGCAACTCGGAGGCTGAGGCAGGAGGATCACAAGTTCAAGGCTAGCCTCAGCAATTTAGTAAGGCCCTGAGCAACTTAGTAAGACCCTATCTCAAAATTTTAAAAAATTGGAAGGCTGGATATGTAGCTTAGTGGTAAAGTACCTCTGGATTCCATCCCCAGTACCACCAGAAAATAAATAAAACCTTCCCCAGTGGAGGTGCAGGCTCTTGCACTTCTATTGCTCATTAAGAGATTTTCTCCTAAGCAGCAAATTTTGTTGCTGGAATTCTAGATGAAATCACCTTTCTAGTTAGAGTATAGTATATTGTGTGTGTGTGTGTGTGTGTGTGAGAGAGAGAGAGAGAGAGAGAGAGAGAGAGAGAGAGAGAGAGAGAGAGAGAGAGTGCATGTGTGAGCACACACGCATTTACCATGTGTTTTCATAAAGTATATTTCCATAGCACCTTGTATTTGGTCGGCCCAAGGACTTAAGTGGGCATTCAGGGAGCACAGTGGCTTTCTTACAATGCTTCATGTGCAGAACCTGGATGGTCTCTTCAGAGTCCATCCAGTGGACACAGCTTGGGGACCTAAGGGTTTGGTTCCCTCAACAGTTGTGTATTTATGGAGTGTCTTCTCTGAGCTAGATGGAAACCAGATTCTGGGAAATTTGGTTCATGGCTATACCACAGTCTTTTGGAGGACTACAGCAGTTATTTTATGTTTGCTGAGACTTAGTTCCTTCCTTTGCAGAGAAGTGAGGATGACTAAGTGATGTGCTTCTTTGAAATCAGAAGTGATAGGAATAGCATACCTATTTAGCTCCAGAATCCAGAGAGCCTTAGAAATAGAGTGGAAAAGAGTATATAAGAGTCTGCAAATACCAGAGGGGATCCAGGCTTCGCTTCCTGCTCATATTTCATTCTGGAGGCTGGTCACTTGTTTTGAGTGCGGTCCACTACCCAAGTTTATGGGGTATTACATTTCCCAAGGGAGGCAGTGTGAAGCACTGAAGGTTGGGGGCTGGGAGTCAGACTGGCATATTGGCTTACTCCTTAGGCAAGTTCTTCGGTCTCTGTGCTTCTTATTTGTCTGTGAAACAAATCCAGGTTCCAAAGGACAAGGGCAGGCTATTTGCGTTCATTTATCAATGTGTCCTCACATTCCTCACAGGCTTGTCATAGCATCTAATATATAACTATTATCCAGGTCACATTCTTACACCTTGTGATGGGGGCTTGCGCTGAACAGGATTTTTATGCATTTTGATAACTAAGTTGCTTCATTAATCAACTATTATCCTTAAAACACATACATATCTTGAATTATTCATTTTGTACTCTTCAGTTCAAGGGTGAATGGGACATTGACATTTCTTTGTTATGTGTGTAGCATTCAATGTTATAGAAAACTGTATTATGGGAACTTAGCTGGACTTATGGGAAAGCAGAGGTTCTTTCTGTGAATTGTTGTTCACGGCCACTTTTTTATACAAATCTTATCTTGGGTCAAGGTACCCACTGCCCTGTTTTGCTTGTCTCCTTCTCCTCAGGTACAATTTCACAATGCTGGCACTGTCATCCTCATTCCTGGTGCTGTCCTATCTCCTGACCCGTTGGTGTGGCAGCGTGGGCTTCATCCTGGCCAACTGCTTTAACATGGGTATTCGGATCACACAGAGCCTTTGCTTCATCTATCGCTACTACCAAGAGAGCCCACACAGGCCCCTGGCTGGCCTGCACCTGTCGCCAGTCCTTCTTGGGGTATTTGCCCTCAGTGGTGGTATTACTGGTGTTTCAGAGGTGAGATCCCGCAGCCTCCACACCACATGCTTCTGTAGCTCTCCACTGGCCCCCCCTTAGGTTTCCCCTTCCCCCTGCTTGAACTGACTGGACAATTATTTACCTCCTCTTATCCTTTCCCTAGGCGTCTAGAGCATCACCTTTTGCTAGACATGACAAAAAAATTACAGTGGGAAGAGAGTAGACCCACAGCCCAGTTGACATACCTTTTATCTGATTTGGAAGCCAGAATAATAGCCACCTTTAGTCCACGGCCAACCAGGCCAGCACAGATGGTGTGAACGGTTTGAGCAGGAAAATCCTCAGGGAGTTTAATTTAAAGACACAGACACCATTTTATCTTTAAACCAGCTCCGAGACAGCTCCTCGAACTCTCAACCTCAAGCTCCCCAGGGAGGCAGTGAGGTTTTACTGAAGAGGCTAGCAAGAGAGAGAGAGAGAGGAGAGAGAGAGAGAGAGAGAGAACGCTAGGGAGAGGGCTTTTGTTGGGGAACAAAGAATTCTGGGGAAATTCCCATCCAATAAAGGTCAGGGGGGCAATGTTGCAAGGTCAGGTGCAATGATTGGATCTTTGGGGCAGTGGTGAGACCGACCTCTACACTGTCAAGCTCTCGAACCTAAGAAGGGTGGGGAAAGCTCTGCCACATTAAAAGTGACTGAGCGCCTCACACCCAGCCGGGGAGGAAACTCATTCATGTGCAAGGATGGTCTCCCACAGCCACTTTCCCTGGCTTGTCCCAGAGGAAGGGGGTACAGACCCAGAAACCAGGCAGTGACAGTGCTTTCCTTTCCCAGGTGTTCCTGTGCTGTGATCAGGGCTGGCCCGCCAGGCTGGCACACATCACTGTGGGGGCCATTTGCTTAGGACTGACTCTTGGGACAGCATTCCTCACAGAAGCTAAGCTGATCCACTTTCTCAGGACTCAGTTTGGAGTATCCAAAGTTGCTGACAAAATGACTTGACTTCAAGAGCATCTTGGTACCTGTGGCACCTGGATCCACTTGGGACAGTTTTTGGGTGCAATGTTACCATGCAAAAGCCCTGCCAAGGGGTCTGCAGTGTAGTGAGAACCACCCAGGAGGTGAGACCATGGATGAAACACTCGTCCACTTGAAGTCTTAAATGCAAAGGAGGAATTTTCATTTTTAAGTGGAAACCAAACAGCCCTTTTAAAATAGATGTACTTTTTTCATTATTTTGTTCTAATCAGTACTTTTATTTTTATGAATATATTTATTCCTATTGAGTGTGATTGACCTTTGTAGCTACATGCTCCAGCAAACTTTATCTTAGATGTTAGTAGTGAATAATGATCTGGCCAAGAAAAAGAGAGGTAGCTGTTTATCCCTCACAGGAATATTTAGATTCTTCTGTAAAATAAGGAAAAAACCAGATGCTGTGCACCAAACAAGAACAGAGTGTGGCCTGGGAGTTGTGGCTTTCCACATGTCAACGCTGTGGTTGGAGTTTTTAGAGAAGGAAAAATGTTACTAAACAAAAAACCTCAAATGCAAATGTGAAGCTTTTGGGATCACATTTCCCTGTGTGCGTGAAGAAGAATCTTGCCTATCATGCTTTTATTCCCCAGGCTAGCTTGTGCCTTTCCCAGTGTGGGCCCTCAGGAATTGTTGAATGGAGGGAGGGTAGAAGTTAGTTGAAGACTTCAGGTCTGACCACCTGAAAGAGGGGGGCTTTGAAGGTTTGAAATTACTCCAGCACGAGCTACTTTTAGCAGTTTTCTGTAACTTTGCACATGGAAATTGATGACCAAAGTTGTGGAAATGTTTCTTTTTATCCTTAGAATAAAATAGGATAAACTCTATATGGCAAATATCACCAAGTCAAGCCCTTCTCACTGACCTGTTATTTCCAGCACTGCTCAGTACAACTGAATTCCAGCCCCAGGACAAGAGTGGTAGGCTTCGGGGAGTGAGCCTCCTGGCCACCACATGTTCCTTGTGCCCTGTATATGCAGGTGAGATGGTCAAGCATTGTTCTGGGGTTGTAAAGTGTTTTTCTTTTCTTTTTTTTTTTTAATATTTATTTTTTAGTTGTAGTTGGATACAATATCTTTAATTAATTATTTTTATGTGGTGCTGAGGATCCAGCCCAGAGCCTCACCCGTGCTAAGTGAACACTCTACCACTGAGCCACAACCCCAGCCCCAAGTGTTTTTCTTTTTTCATTAATGTATTAATTCCTTTTAGACATGATTTCTCTTTGGAAGTACATGCACAGACTATGTCTTCAGTGTTAATAGTTAGTAATCCTCTGGCCTAATGTCTCCAGATCTTCCAAGTTTACCTCCAGAGAGAGGGCCAGTAAAAGCAGCTCGTATTATTCATTGAAATGCATGCATTTAAACCCACTTGCTTGGACTCAGTACGAAGAAGCTGAGGACCAAGACCCATCAGCCTACCAAGACTAGGGCCCAGTCACTTTGACACCTTTTTATCTGTTTCCCCTCTGAATTGAGACACCAAATGCAAGGTGTCTTAAGCAATAGAGGCCCTCCAAAAGCATGATCTTGGTAGGGTAGGATCAGGCTAAGTCAGAAAAAAGGGTTGTCTCAAGTGCACAGAAATGGGTCTTCCGTTCACAAAAGCTCCTTCTCTTCTTCTGCTGACCATTCCACTGTCCCCTTCCCCAGAGTCCTGCCACCCACCATGCTCACTTGACAGACATAAAGCATAGTCTTCCAGCCATGTGCCTCAGAGTGTTCTGGATTACAGGTTAGAAATGTAGGTTCCCAGACCTTGAGATGCTGAGGTCTTTGGGTATGGGACTACCATTCTCATGTGGAGAGAGGCTCTTTGTCTGACAGTAGGGTTCTTCCCCTCATCTCCTCCCACATTATCCACCAGGTGCTGCTGTTGGGACCTGCTCCTCTTGACAGATGGCCAGCTGGAACATGGGCCAGATTCCTTTTTATGTCCTGCTTCCCTATTTCTAGGACAAGTAGTGCTGTGTGTGTTAGCTTTCTATCACTGCAACAAAATACCCAAGAAAATCAATTTAGAGGAGGAAAGATTTATTTTGGCTTATGGTTTCAGAAGTTTCAATCCATGGTTGACTGGCCCATTGCTATGGGCCTGTGAATCAGAGTATCATGGCAAAGAATTTGTGGTGCAGCAGAACTTCTCACCTCATGGCAGCCAGGAAGCAGGCGGGGGAACAAACCAGGGACAAAATATACCTTTCTAGAGCATGTCCCCAGTGACCTACTTCTTCCAACTAGGCACAGTTTCTACCACTTCCCAATATTCAGTTCAGTTATGAACCAATCAATGGGTTAATACATTGATGAGAGAGCCTTCATGATCCAATCAATTCCCAAAAGCCCACCTCTGAGCATTGCTGCAATGGGGATCAAGCCTTCAATAATGAGCCTTTGGGGAATATTCCAGATTCACACTATTATATCCTGGCTACCTGCTTCCCTGCTAGTACCTGCCTTGCAGGCTGTCAGTACTTTGGCCAAAGATCTCCACCCTCTTGACACTTCCCTGAAGCCCAGTGAACCTAACCATGATCTCTGGTGTTTTCCCTTACTGCCTGTCCCAGCACCGTACCTCTTGCCTCAGGTCACTTGCATATGTGTGGACCAGGCTGCCTCACTTCACCCATGAAGGATTTGGCAGGGGAATCACATTTGGCTTTAAGTACCATTTTAAATGTAGTGAGGCTACTTCTTCATGGAAACATGTCTGTAAGGCATGTCCTTTTTATGACGGGAAAAGCCTTCAGTGGTAAGAATAACACTATTGCTGGCTTCCTTTGCGTCTCTGACCACACGTAAGAGTTGCTCACTTCAGACTTGGCCTAGGGTGTCTCTGTAAGGGACACTGCTGTATTTTGTAATGCTCACTCCATAGTGACTCCTGGCTCTGCTCGGCCCTGTTTGATGCCGCTTCCCAACCTAATCCAAGTACAGCTCTTCTTTCCTTCCATCTTTTTTTTTCTTTTAATCATGTACTTATGTTGCTGGTTTCATGTCAGTCTCCTGGTTTAAAAAAGAATAAATTATTTTCTTCACATCCTTGTAAAGACCTTTCTTCTTTCATACCCTTCTTCCCTCCAGAATGGGGGGAAAATACCTAAGGAAGTGGGCAGATAATTTGAATCTGAACCATTAGATTTCGTCAGGGGATCGATCATCTCTCCCTACGCAGATAGTGACACTGGGACTTAGAATCCTGACCTTGGAAGAGGAATAGTTGTCTGGCGCCTTCTGTGTTGGGACTGAAAGACTAGGGGTCTCTTTCACTCTTCCCTCCTCACTCTAAGGTAGTGTTTCCCATTGCTTTCCTCTCCCCTCCATTTTCTGCCTCGCCTGGTCCTTGTCTTATTTGTTTTGTTGTTATTTATGAAGCAGCTATTCCTTGAAGGGTCAGGATGCATTTTGGTGCAGAGTAAAGCAGTCATGTGATTTTTGGAAGTTTGGGGCAGCCCCTTCCCCTTCCTGTCTTCAACTTGGTGATAGAATTTTTTTTTTTCACTGAGCTCAAAGACTATCATTCCAGAATAGAGGATACTGGAAATTTGGATCCCATGGGGAAGGGCTCTGACTCATTCACACCAAGATGTACACTGACATCAGTGATTCTTACCTTGATATGGAGGAAGAAACAGGAGTTGGGAGCATCCAGAACTTGCAGGTGAAGTAGCCCAGGTGAGGGGGTGGGTAGCCCCAGAAGGTAAGAGCTCAAGAGGGGTGCCATAAGGTCCCTGGGCTGAGTGGAATTGATATCCAGTGGGGGAATTGGGGAACATGTTTCCAGCCAAGTCTTGGAAGAGCCATGAGTAAAAAAGGGCTGTGCCTGGTGTAAGAACTAGAGAAGAAAAAGAATAAGAGCAGGAGAAACCTTTCACATCTTTATGAACACCTGCTCTTTGGAGAGGCCAGGTGCAGAATGAGGAGGTGAAGTGAGGAGGGTGTGCAGGGTGCTTGTTGGGGAGGCTCTCAGAAGCTCCATCTTGAGAACCTTTAGGAACTACCCTACAGGCTCCAGAATATTGCTTGTACCAGATTATCATTAGCCCTGAGGGAGAGTTCAGGAAGGCAAACTAGAAGCCAGAAGATCTGCAGAATGTGTCAGAAGGGAACAGATTTGGAAAGCTGATGAACCAAGGCATAGTATGAGGGGTCCCCTAGAAACTTCTCAAAGATAGCAAAATACACAGAACTGGAAAGGGCAGCCGATCAAAGATGCTAAAATACAGCTTCCATTTGCCAATTATTCCTGAAGTATGCAGGAAGGGACTGAGACTCTCATTTAATTTGAAAATGGGACTTCTGAGCCAATACAGATACTAATGAAAAATTATTTGTTTTGCTGTTATTTACTATACTTTAGTGAATTAGCCGTTAATGTTGTAAATATTTTATTTGCTAATTAACTTTTGAGGGTAACAAAAAGGTGTTTTATTTGAAGAATTTGGGGAGAGGGAGGGCTCATGTATTTGTATTATCAGTCAGTCCCCAATTATCTTGCCATAACCAGTCTCCCTGTTTAGTATCATTTGTTTTTAACCAGAACTGTCTGTATGTTAGAACAAAATGGAGAGAATGGACTCCTAATGCATTTCAGCCTCCTTTAGGAACCTAATGAAGTTTTATAACTATTTCTTAATTTCCTTAAAGATGAACTAGCAGGAGTTGCTTGTTGCCCCATCCCAAAATGCACTCTATTCTTTGTCTACCACTTTTTCGGCCCTTTTTGGGAAGTTTGGCTTAAATAGAAAGTGTTAGAGGTTAAATGTCAGGCCTTTCCTTTTATGTGATAGGTCCTCAGCAGCAGAGTACGCACACCCAGAACTGTGTCCCAACCTCTGCAAGTTCCAGCACACTCACTTTTGGAGACATCTGCCCTCCTCCAGCTTGTCAACCTAAAAAAGTACACCATGTCCCACATTGAACATAACAAGTTTGTAAGTATACAAGAGTGTGGTTGCCTAACTGATGTGATGTTATGCTCTGTAGACATTTTCAAAATCCCCTTTGAAGCTTTGTATCTTGGAGCCAGCAAATTTTTGTTTCTGTCTTAGTCATGTCTGAAGTTCCTAAAGAGTTGAAGGGCCCTTGATCTTGCAACTGTGAGGCCTAATGAACAATGTGCTGGGAGAGAGAAGAGTAGGGGAGGAGCCTGAGAGGCCGCCTGGCAGCAAAACTGTCAGGGTCCCTCTCCTAGGCAGCTTTTGGCCCTCCGCTCCTTCTGGCTGCTCACTGGGATAAATTCTCATCTCTCCTGGGTCCCAGATATCAGGCAAGGGTGTACTGAAACTAGCAGGCAGTGACTGCTGCTCTCAGGGTAAAGGCCAAGGTTCCTCCATTTATGAGACATCGATTCTACCACCTTTTCCTTCCAGCCCCTCATACAGTGGCCTAAGAACAGGTCTTTATAAGACAGCTACAGTAGGTAATAGGCCATAAGTAGCCCTATGGCCCCATCAGCCATTGTTGGTTGGGGACCATGCAGATTGGCTAATAAGATAATTTTTAAATTTTTATCTTGTGGTGCAGGGGAATGAACCCAGGACCTTGTATATGCTAAGCAATTGCTCTACCCCGAGCCTCACCCAGATGGCATGGTTTATCCACAGTTGCCCTCCAGCCTCTGAGGAGCTCCATGAGAACCTGTGACAGAATAGCTGGCTTTTAAAGGAATCTTCTGGATGACATTTATTTGTCACATTTGTCCTCTTTCCAATAAAAGTACGCCAAAGTTATGACCCTGTTAATCCTGCTTTCGTGATGTTGCCTTCTCCTGACAAGGGCCTTTGGCAAAGGTCACCTGGGTTCAGAGAGCTCAGTGGAAAAGGAACCTGAAAAAGTGGCCACTCATGGGCCTTCCTTCCCACTAGCCTCTCATCTGCACCACCCCATCACAAGTCAGGGCCTTAGAACAAGCTCCAATGCTGTCAGCGCAGTCAGTGAGCAGTGACTAATTAAGACACAACTGCATTAGTCATGTTGGAAGTGACAACTGAGAGCATGTTTCTGGTTCATGTCTGGGAGATCCTGACACACTTTCCAATTATGTGTGCCTTCCACGCAGCCCTGTCGCTGGGAGAGTAGGGGAAGGAAGGTGTGATGCACTGTGGGCGGCACTGGTTTGCTCCCTACTCCTCACTCCTTTGCACTTCCTGTTGAAAATCATGAATGGTAACACCAGGGTGAACAGCATTAGTGCTGCCAGAGGACCCCTCTCAGGAGGGCTTTCAGTTCCCAGGAGAATTGAGTCAACTCACAGGGGGAAGCTGGTGACATAGGAGCCTCAGTAGATGACTTCAGCCTTCCCAGCTTTGGAGCATCCCATCTGACCCTCTAGCAGAGACTGGCACAGACCAGGAAGGGAGAACCATGAAGACCCAGGAATGTTTAACACATTGTAGCCAGAAAAAGAATGTCAATGTTTCCTCCATACATCATTGCTAATATAACTCTCCTTTTTAGTTTCCCTAGAAAATTAACACAACTTTATGAACAAACAGGTTAGCATAGTACATTTTTATGTTTCTAAACTAGAACAGAAGATTGCTCTCTTCCCTGCATGACTTCTGAGATCCCTAAGTGGTATCTTTCTAATGACAAGAATGTTATTGCAGGTGTGCAGATGTCAGGCTATGGGGGGCAATAGAAGGGACATAGCTACTTACATTTGTTTCCTTTGTAACCAGGAGTGAAACTGTGTGGAGCTGTGGCTGCCCAGCAGGGTTCATGGGCATGATGCCCAAGTATACCAGTGACTTTGGTCTTCCTGCTCTCTGTGTTCCTTGCAGTGGACCTGCAGAGGGCCAGAGCCAGGCTCTGGGTGGAAGGACCCCAAAGGTGTCCTACCTGCATGTTTCTTCCATCTGCACTATCACTGGAGAAATCTGCTCATATCACTGTTATTTTGAAATTCACAAGCAGGGTTTAATTTTGTGTGTGTCATTTCCTAATGATACATTCTGTTGTGCTACATGCCATCAGTTGTATCTCACCTAGCTGCCCTTCTCTAACTCACCAAGTGACCTTGAACAATTCTTTCTCAGGCACTGAGCATGTGTCAGGTATGTGTGAAGACACATTTTAATCATGTTAGCTGTGAAATCTTCATGACAGACCTCATCCATTGTCTGCATGTTACAAGTTGGGGAAAAACTCAGACAGGAAGAAGTGGCCACACAGCTATGAAAAAAGTGGCAGAGCTGGGATCAACCCCAGCAAAGAGATGATATTAAAGGATGGCAAAGAGAGGATATTACAAATACTTGATAGCTTTTTACTGTTAATGCAAGCTTAACTATTAAGCTTTTACTTTAGAAAACTAAATATAATTATTTCAGCCTAATTTGACAGCTTTTCCTTTAGTTCTGTCACTCAGGTGACACCTAGCCCAGGACATCTTTGTGGCTCCCAATCCGTTTCTTGGCTTCTGCCTGTGATGATCCTTAGAGTGCCCTTGAGAGCCCCAGAACCAGCCTGCCCTTCCTGCAGTGCTTATACCCCTCCCTCTTCCCTGCCCAACTGGACCCTTGCCTGTGTCCTTGACCTCTTCTCCAAAGTCTCTCTGTCCCCATCATGCTTTCCTCCAACAGCTCTGTTTTCTTTCTCCCTTGAGAATTAAGAAGTCAAGTGGGAGACTTGAAGTAGTCCTCATATTGAACTCTGCTTCATCTCTTCATCCCCTGAATCTTTGAGCTAAATGTTATATTCCTCTAAGACTCAGTTTACTTATCTAAAAATGAGCATAACCACACTTGCCTCCTAGGGTGTGGCAAGGACTAAATGAGAGGGTGTAGGTAAAGCACTGAGCAGGGGTCACCTAGGCCCCTGTACCGGGAGTGGAATTATAAATCTGTCCAACATACAGTTGCAGAGGGACTGTAGTCACTGAGACTATGTCACTCCACTGCCTCTTCCCCACCTCCCCGCAATTTATAGAAGCAGCTTGAATCTTTTCTTTCAGTGGAAACATTTCTCCTTTTCTTAAAGGCAAAGCTTCAGGTGAAGAGGAAATGACAGCTCCTTTTTGGGCCTGGCTGGCCCAGGAGGAGATTTGGGGGTGAGGACCTTCAAAGGGGAGACAGCACAGAGGCCAGAATCTGGATGGAGGTCTGAGGCCTTAACCCTTAAAAATGCCCACAGCCAGGCTCCAGGATGCAAAACCATAGCTTCTAGGGAAGGCCACAGCTGCCATCAAATGTCCCCTTTCAGGCACAGTCTGAACGTCTCCCCAGGACAAAGATGCTCCAGAAGCTTGTTAAATGATTTTCAGCAATTTCAGAAATTGCCTTAGCTGGTTGGTTAGATTTTGCTGCAGTCTTAGATTAGGAAAGAAAGAAAAAAGGCTGCTGGTGATGGGAATGTGGCTTTGTCTAGGAAGGCCAGCTGCTGTGGGCTGCTTCTAAAAACATTGGAAAGGCATGAATGGACTCTGCCAGGTATGTGAATGGCCTCCCGGGCCCACTGAGGACACGCCTCACCCCTACATAGCTTTGCTCACCAATTACTGGTATCTTCCCCTGGAACTCCTAGACTGATCCAGAAACTTGTGTTTACTTCTTACCCTAAAAAAAAATTAAAAAGAAAGAAAGAAAGAAAAAGAAAAAACCAACCATTGTCTCTCCCCAGTCAGCCCCTTTGGCTTAATCTCTGAGAGCTCGGTTTTGTTTGTTTTTCTTTCACTGCACTGGGAATAAGGATGCCAAGTTCAAGTCAACTGGCTTTCTCCTTCCAGAAGTGGCTGAGAGGAAAAGGTCAGAATTTAGCATGGGCACAGGGTCCTGATAAGGTGGAATTTTCCCACAAAGGGATGTGTGTTCTGTTCCTATTAGGACTCATGTTTTGTGATACCAGACATATCTGGACCTGGCACTGATCCTTGGTGAGGCATGAGGTTGTTGATTTTAGTGTATGAAGCATATCTGAGTGGCAAGGGTCCATTGGGCCTTTCTCTACCTAGTTCTGCTCATCCTCAAAGAGCCATGGCTGGGGTGTACCACATAGCCTGCTGCTACAGGCCTCCCTCATTTCTGTTGGCCTCTGTGAGACATGCCTCAAATCTGTAGGGACTCCAGTGGCCTTTGCAGCCTGAAGATGATATTTTACCCTCAACTATGTTGTCTCTTGGACCAAAGGACAGCTGTTGGTCCACATAATCAACAGAGCTAGAGAGCAGGAGGGGAGAGTCGCATTCTAATCCCAACCGTGCCTCTATCTCTTCAGAAGGTTCCAGGGAAAGGTGGGGGTGGCTTTGCCTCCTCCCCATGTACAAAAGGCTCCAATCCCTCCCTGCCCAGCGTTGCTTCAAGGTTGTTATGGAGGGCATGGGGAAGTCAGTGTTTAGCAGTCCTTTGGAGTAGAACAGAGAAGGGGGAGACAGTAGGCCTGTGGACTATAAGGCTAGAGCCTGGGCCTTGGCTCATGTTTAGGCAAGGGAGCCAGACTAGTGCAGAAGTCACCAAGGAAATTAAAATAGCTTCACATAGGGGCTGGGATTATAGCTCAGTGCTAGACCAACTAGCCTAGCACATGTGAGGCACTGGGTTCAATCCTCACATAAAAATAAATAAAGTAAAGGTATTATGTCCATCTACAACTAAAAAATTAAAAATATGTATATATGTTCATGTAAGCTGGGCCATGTAAGCCGGGCTCAGTGGTGCGTACCTCTGATCCCAGCTACTTGAGAGGCTGAGGCAGGAGGATCCCAAGTTCGAGGTAAGCCTCAGTAACTTAGTGAGACCTTGTCTCAAAATAAAAAATAAAAAAGGCCGATTGTGTTTCCTGATCTTATCTACTGTTATCATTACATATTTGATGTCCTTTTTTTTTTTTTTTTTGTACCAGGGATTAAACCCAGGCATGCTTAATCACTGAGCCATAGCCCCAGCCCTTTTTATGTTTGTTTGTTTGAGACAGGGTCTCACTAAGTTGTTTAGGGCCTCGCTAAGTTGCTGAGGCTGGCTTTGAACTTGCAATCCTCCTGCCTCAGCCTCTTGAGAAGCCGGGATTGTAGGCATGCACCACCATGCCCAACTTTTCATATTTTTTGATAGTAAATTATGTATAGCAAACTATAAATTGCCCTAAGGGAAGCCAATGTCCTGTATACATACACAGACTGCACATTCTGCCCACTGCTTCTTTTCTCTTTGCTTAACTGCAGTGATCCTTTTTGCTATATGTTGTACCATTGGAGGTTGTTTCTAGATGTGTGCTATTATAAACTTGTAGAGAATATCCTGACATAGAGACCTCTAAACCTAGCCTGTGTTTGCAATTTGCCTCTCTGTAATCTCTAGTAACAAACTTCACTGCCTGCCAGCACCATCCTCGCCAAGGGAGCACAGGGTGAAGGGAGCCTGCTCAAGACACAGTGAATGAGTGACTAGCCCCAGTGAAGCTCAGGACTCAGGACCTGTTGGCTAGGGTACCAGGTTGCTCCTTTCACTTGGGTTCCATATCAGAAAAGGGCTTCACACAGTGCCAGGCATCTAATTAGGGGTCAGTATTAACTGTGACATCATGGCAGCCTGTCACTATGCCTTTCAATTGCTGCCTTTTCCATGGCAGAACCAGGAAACCCTGCAGGGACAGTGGAGCTTGCTGTCCCTGCTGAGCATAAGCCAGCAATTAGGACCTGGGCGGCCAGGCTAATGGCCTCCTCAGCCACAGACAGGTGGGTGTGCCTCGCTCAGTACCAGAGAGTGCTCTGAGAGTGTGCTGCTGCCACAAGTAATTGCTTCCCCTGAAGCTGTTCCTCTGGGTGTTGGTAGTCATGCCTCGGCACTCCCCTTAGGGAATCTGATTATCCAGCCCAGCTGGATGGGGAACTAGGATACAAAAGCCACCTACCAAACAGAAGAAGCAGAACAGCTGCTCCAACTCTTTCCTTGGGATGATGTGGCCTCCACAGGCAAGTGGCTTTGGAAGGTGCCTTATTTCCTGCCCAGAGGCCTGGGCTGCCTCTTAGGCTTGAGGCCCATATTTGTAGTACTCCTATGTGCTTGGGGAGGGTTTCTGAGCTGCCTGGCCTGTGGTAGGTAGACTCCAGAGTCACCATTTTTTTTTTCAAGTTGTAGATTGACACAGTAACTTTGTTTGTTTGTTTATGTGTGCTGAGGATTGAACCCAGTGCCTCACACATGCTAGGCAAGTGCTCTACCACTGAGCCACAACCCCTGCCCAGAACCCAGAGTCTTGACTTCAGGTTCACACCTGCTATGGGCTTTGGCATAGACCGACTGGTATGGACCTGGGTCCCAGATCTGCTGTTTCTTACTCCATGGCCTTGAACAGCAGGCTCAACTTGCATGCTCTCTATCTAAATCCTACCAGCTTTTATTTTTAATTTTTCTTTTGATAAAAAAAAACACACACACATAAGTTTTAAAAGTCAAACACTAAATGGTTGCTAACGCAGGTTCTGTTCACCATCACAAATTCCCCAGTTCTTGTCCCACTCCATCCAGTTGTCTATTTCTTTTCTTTTTTTCTTTTATTATAACTGGGGATTTAACCCAGAAGCAATTTACCACCGAGCTACATCCCCAGCCCTTATTGTTTTTGGGTTTTTTGTTTGTTTGTTTGTTTTGTTTTTTGTTTTTTTAGACAACTTAACAGGGTCTCACTAAGTTGCTTTGGGCCTTGCTAAGTTGATGAGGCTGGGTTTGGACTTGGCAATCCTCCTGTCTCAGTCTCCTGAGCCACTGGAATTATAGGCGTGCACTACCACACCCACCCTTTATATTTCTAAGTCATTCACATATATTGTCATTTCTTGCTCTTTCACCTGAATATCATTGCCTTCCTATGAGGGGAAAAGTGAGTCTAATAACCACCTTTCCACACCCACTCATCCTTCCAAGGTTATGATTTGGGGGAAATTGCTAGTCAATGTTTACATGCTTTAAACTACTGTATATAAACATTTTTTTTCCTAGTAAACCAAAAGTGGTGGTATTCTATTATTGTGCTATAATCCTTTTTTTTTTAATTAAGCTATAATTAAATATCTCATCTTATTCGTTTAGTTTTTTTGTTTGTTTGTTTGTTTTGGTGCTTTACGCTCTTCTTTATAAAATCTGGCTAAACACCATAAAGCTTTTCTCAACATGACTAATCCCTCAAATTGTGGCTTTTGTGTTTTCCCCAGAGGTGTTGCACCAGAAACCCCTCACCCTCCCATTCACTCTCACCATCCTGTCCACTGGCCCCCAGAGTGAAGAGACTGAAAATCAGTGAGGTAGAAAAATTGAGGCAGAAATGCAACCCTGGCAGGAAATGGAGTTATGGTCAATGGTCAGCACTTGACCCAAGGATGCTGTAACTCAGTGTGAATAGCCTACATGTAAATAGGACCACTCAGTGGTTTTAATTGTGGCTTGGGCCAGGGGTCTCTGACCCTGACCACAGAGGACAGAGAGACAGGTCTCCCTGTTCATCTTAAGTGACCCTTTCTGGTGAGATTAGCAAGCCCATTTCCATCCCTTATCCCAGGCATATCTAAGAACAAGTTAGGCCATGAGTCTGGCCTGACAGATCCATGCTTTTTTTCCCATGGCGGCTTTTCCTTAAACATGCTAAACCAGCCTTACCCAATTGCTGGGCTGAGCACACCTCCTAGGGCTACCAGCACCTGGCACATCACAAACAGGGCTGCTTTTGGCCACTATACCTTGTCTTGTCTCCTCCATACAGCAGGTATTAGCTCTGAGCCCATTTCCTGCAAGTTCCCCACTGCAGGCAACTCTTTTTCCATTGCTGGTCAGAGGATGCTAAGGTCAACAGTAAGATTAAGGTGATAGCCGGGCTTGGTGGCACATGCCTGTAATCCCAATAGTTCGGGAGGCTGAGGCAGGAGGATTGTGAGTTCAAATCCAGCCTCAGCAATTTAGTGAGACCCTAAGCAACTCAGTGAGACCCTGTCTATAAATAAAATATTAAAAGGATGTGACTCAGTGGTTAAGCACACCTGGGAACAATCCCTGGTACCAAAAAAAAAAAAGATTAAGGTGATGCTGGAGGCCTAGGCCCAAGAGCCCAATCACCAAATGTCCACAAATAAGCAACTCCTGACTTGGTGCAGCACACATTCTTGAATGGGACAGAGAGCCTCCTGAGCTGAGAGCTCTTGAATGGACACCCATTATACCTCACACCAGAGAAGCTTGTGCATGATTAGAGGCCTCTGATGACCACCATTCAGCTCATAGGGCTTTCTTACCTTGGCAGTTACACATGACACTGCCATCCATGTGTTCCTGCAAGTCACGCCTAAAGGGTGCTCTGCCACTAGGACTACCAGAGGAGCATAGGAAGATGGTGCAGGGCACATGTTCTCTGCCTCAGTCAGTAAGGGAAAAGGCATGGCATCAGAGAGAGAAGGAAGATGCATAGATCTCTTCATAAGGCTACATGCTTTCTAAACAGACAATTTACTGGGATTTAATCTACAACTCAGATTCAATTGGCTAAGTAAGGAAGAAGAAAGTGTGTGGTTGTCATGGCAACATCAAATTGCCCAGGATCAGGTTTGTCTCTAAGGAGGGGGAAAGGGGGTAGCAAAGCCAAGCCTCCATCTTCTTGGCAGGGATGTTATGGAAATTGGGGGAGCAGGCTGGTCCCACTTGCATGAAGTAGAGAGCATTCTTCCCACCACCCAGATCAGGGCTGAGGGCCTGAGCCATGTGGTGTATTGCAGAGGGGTCTGGCTGGCTCAGGGACCTCACTGTGGGGCCTGGGGACTCTGATTGCCCAAGCATGTCAACTTTCAGACATCCTCTTGCTGAGGGCCAGTTCTTTTCTTGGGGGCTAGCCCCTCCCAGAGCATCTTGTCCTGCTCCCTAATCCTAGTTTTCTTAGCAGAACTTTTGCCTGTTGGCCTGGCTGTGGATGTGGGCACAGCCTGAGACATCCTCTGAGTCTGTCTGAAGGATCAAGGGAACTGAAGCCTCATCCAGAGAGTGCCAATCAAAGCTGGTGCTGCCATTCCTAAATACTCAGTGCTGCTGGCCTGGCTTCTTCCTCCCCACTAAGAATAAAATGGAGTCAGCTAGAGAAGTTGCCCCGCATGGGCAACCTCGGCCCATTCCTAGGTGGCTGTAGATGGCAGGGGAGAAGGCTGCTCAAATGGGGAAGACTTTAAGCAATGGGAAAATTCCCTGGCCCTAAACCCACTTTATCCCTATTTGGCTTCTGATCATCCAGTGCTCTTGGCCTCCCAAGACAAGGTCCTATCTCCTCAGCAGCCTCCAAGTCACTCACTGACCAGCTAAGCCCTGCCCATTCATCTCTGTGGACCCTGGGCTTGGCCACAGGAGGGGCTCTACTGACACCTAATACATAAGATGAATGAATGAATGAATGAATGGTTAACTTGGGTAGTGAGGACTGGGAATAGAAGAATTTTTTTAAAAAAAGGTCAGATTTGCAGGGGAACCTGGTAGGTTCCCCCCAGGTAGGAAACTGGGGGACCATAAATGCCAAATTGAGAGGGGAGGGGAGGTGTCAGGCTCCCCCTATCTTCTACCCTCGATCTAAGACAACTCCCTGACAGATGTGCCCCTATCACCTGATTCCCCTCAGAGAGACAGGGAGCCCGGGGCCCATTCCCCAGAGCCTAGCTCACCTGGTCTTTGAAGAGGGCTGCCTCTCTAGAACCCAGCAGACCTGATTGTTTTTTTTTAACACACTCTGTGGGCTCTCCCATTTGTCCAATTAGTGCTAATTGGAAGCAAGAGGAGTGTGAATTGGGGAGGGAGGGAGGGAGGTCTGGAGCTCTAATGTCCTTGTCAGAACTTTGAGCCAGTCACCAAGCTTCCTGGGTCAGGCCCTTCCGCAGCAGTGCAGGGTCTCCTGCAGGGTTGGTGGGATTGTTCAGGGGCTCCTTCTGGTACTACGTGCATTGGATCCAAGCACAGTCAGGCTTCTGCTCTCCAGAGGGTTCAGGCTGCACTGGCCACCTCCTCCCCCATGCCTGTTGTACCCCAGGTAGAACAGGCTCAAGGTTTTCATCATTGACTTCTCACCTGTGTAGAGCCAGGGCACTTCAGTTTTCAGATTCTAGGACTAAAGGGTAAGAGGGACTTAGGGCCTGGCAAGACAGGCAAGGAGGGGCTGGGGACCTCCTAAACCCATCACTGATCCTCAGTCCCAGCCTCACCCTGGGGATCAACAAAGGCAAAGAAAGGTTTGCTGCATCTGACTTGGTGTACATTTGTGCTCCTCATGAGAGATAAAGGTCCAGAGGCCCTTCCTAGAGAAGTGGGACTTCCCCTTTGCTTCCCCTCCTCCCCCACGTCCCTGCAGTCAGAGATGAGGGTGTCCAGAGGCAAAGCATTCTTTGTGTCAGGCCCAAGCTCTGTTCCTGATCCTATAGTGCTTTCCCCACCCACAAGCACTGGTCACAGTCTGGTGACAGAGACTATAATGTGGAGCACGGTGTGTAGGCACATGGCAGAAGGCCTCTGCTCCAGCCTGGGCAAAGATACGCTCCTACCCTGCTCTGCAGTGCTGCATCCATCATCATCCATGGGTGCCCTTGTCCTGGGCACTGTCAGGCCTCCCTCTTAGTGGATGGAGACACTGAGGCCCAGCCTACAACCACCCAGATGCTCTGGCTGGGGACATACCTCTGGAAGCAGGGCCCTCAGGACTCAAAGATACTCACAGATTAGGATTCTTTCTGGGATCAGGCCCAGCTTCTGTCCCTAAAAATGGGCTCATCCCCACGCAGCAGGTACTAGAGAACACAAAGGGACAGAGGACTCCTCTGTTCTCAGGGATTCTGAGAACAGAGGCCTGGCCAGTGGCAGCCGCTAGAGGGCAGAACCCTCCCATGTGTTTTCTCCTGAGGGCTGGTGAGCAGATGAGCTAGGCAGACCAGACACAATGGAGTGGTGGCCCCTGGGCGCAGTCTCCACAAGGCTGAGACGCTGGCCAGAAGTCCACCTGGATCCTAGGCCCCCAAAGTCCTCCCTGAGTCTTCAGGCTTTTCGCCTCCTAAGAGCCCAGCCATGAGCCAACAGGGACTGGCTCCTGCATTAGTGACTGGTCTCTCATTCTTAGAACATGAGGGCTAGAGGAGCACTTAGGAAAGCAGGTCCTCCAGCCTCCTCCATGCAGTGAGGAAACAGGCAGGGAAAAACTCATCTGACCACACCCTGTATATGAGTTGTGTTGGGACACATTTCCCAAGGACTGATCATGAGCCAGGCACCCACAGCATCCCCATGGATCCTGTTAGAATCACTTTATATTTGCAGATGTGGAAACTGAGGCTCAGACAAGCTGCCATTTGACTGAAATCCTCGGATTCCAGACCAGACAGGATGATGACCAAGTCTGTGTTTGATTTGCCATACAGCAGAGATACCCTCATGGTTGGCTCACTGATAAAAGTGAATGAGTGTGTGTGTGTGTGTGTGTGTGTGTGTGTGTCCACAGACACTGGCTGCTAAAGCAGGGACCAGGCTGCCTCTGTTGCACCCACACTTGCTCTCCCAGGTTGAGGCCTCTGCTTCTCATCTGGACCTGGCCAGTGGTTGCCCTGGGTAGAAGGAGCTATGCAAGGTGGCAGTACCATAACAATCCTCATTGAGGGCCATTTGATGTAACAGTGACACTAAACCCAAGAAAAGGGTGTTAACTAAGAGGACCAGCAGCAGTCTAAGAGGTTGTGCCTGCAGCCTTAGGTGTTAAGAACCCTTTCCCCCACTCCCCAATACTGGGGATCAAACTCAGGGCCTCATGCATGCTAGGCAAGAGCTCTACGACTGAGCGATATCCCCAGCCCAAAGACTCACTTTTTTGAGTCCTCAGCTTGGCCTTGCTCCTCCAACCAGGCTTGGGGACCTCTTCTCAGGACCTAAGGTGGGTAGCTCGGTGCTCAGGCAGCACCACTGAGCCCTGGAGCTCCTGGGTGTTTTAGCTCTGGTGAGGGTCTGAGCAATTTGACTGATTTCTGTTGGTCTGCTGGCTCCTGACTCTTGCCCTTGCATGGAGCCCAGGAGACCCTGGAGATCCAGGTCAGCTGTCTGCTAGGACCCCTCCTCAAGACTGAACCTGCCTCCACACGCTAGCCCTAGGATTCTCCCTGACATCTAACAGCAGGGCTGGCCAAAATTACGGCTGGCACCGTCTCTACTCAGGCTAAAGCTAATTAGGGGGTATTGCCCTGAAGTGACCCACTTAAAAAGCTAGCCTATCTGGCCATCTGACTTTGTGTGAGAGTGTCATATTACCTCTCTAGCTTCATCTCCTCTCTCCAGAAAATGGGTGAAGAGAATTCAGGAGAAGGGAGGTCAAGAAGTGATTGATAAGCAGGGCATGGTGGCACACACCTGTAATCCCAGGGGCTCCAGAAGTTCAGGTAGGAGAATCGTGAGTTCAAAACCAGCCTCAGCAAATTAGCAAGGCCCTAAGCAACTCAGTGAGACCCTGTCTCTAAATAAAATATTAAAGAAAGGTCTGTGGATGTGGCTCAGTGGTTAAGTACCCCTGAGTTCAATCCCTGGCACCAAAAAAAAAAAAAAAAAGTGATGGGCCATTAGAACATCAAGCCCAGGTTCCTGGGAGCTGAGTGTGGGCAGATGCTGTGAGACGCTGGAAGTGAGTTTTTGGCCTATCTCAACATTTCTCCTGCCACCCTGTGCTCATTGTCTCCCTTACTGATCTTTCACAAAGAACACTGGGAATTTCCTAGCCAGAAGTTATGAAATAGAGGGCAAACTAGCTGATGATGTAGATGGGCTCTTGGAACTCACTTCCCTTTGCAAAGAAGAGTCTGCTTAGGAAAGAATGACCAGTGGGGGCAGGAACCAGACATCCTGGCTGCAACTCTTTTTTTTTTGGCAGGGGGTGGGGTGGACACCAGGGATTGAGCCACATCCCCAGCCCTTTTTTGTACTTTAATTAGAAACAGGGTCTCACTGAGTTGCTTAGGGCCTCACTAAATTGCTGAGGCTGGCTTTGAACTTGTGATCCTCCAGGATGGATGGATTGTGGGCAGGTGACTTTTCTCTGGGCCTCTGTCATCTGTAAAGTGGACAGAAGCATGTGGTGAGGGTTAAAAGAGTCAAGGAGCTGGGCACGGTCATGTACACCTATAATCCCAGCAGCTGGGGAAGCTAAGGCAGGAAGATGGCAAGTTCAAAGCCAGCCTCAGCAAAAGTGAAGTTCTAAGCAACTCAGTGAGACCCTATCTGTAAATAAAAATACAAAATAGGGCTGGGGATGTGGCTCGATAGTCGAGTGCCCCTGAATTCAATCCCCAGTACTAAAAAAAAAAAAAAAGAAAGAAAGAAAAAGAAAAAAGAGTCACAGAGAGATCATCTAATGCAGTGCCGCACACATAGGAAGTGGACACAAGCAATTGTAGGTCAGAGAGCAACCATCATTTCATAATTCATGACTGTTATCATGGTACCTGTTGTACCTGTTTATGTGCCTGTGTCTGTGGGCCCCTATAAATCTGTACATCTGTAAATCCATGCTAGTTGCTGTGAGTCCTCCCGGTGTGTGTGTGGTGTGTTTCCACATGTGGGCCGTCATATCTTGGCATAGGTGTGTGTGTATCACTCGGCGTGATTTCTCCTGCAGAGCCAGTGCTGAGAAGGTAGGAGGTGAGGAGTAGTCTATGACAGGGCTGGTGCTTGGAGAAAGGGAGAAGTGGACAGGCTGAGTCTGGGAGAAAACGGGGAGGAAAATGGGACCAGCTTAGCTCAGATTAGGTAAAGTGTTTAAGGGGACTAAGATCAAGCTCTATTCCCTCTTGCACCAGGATGATGCATAGGAAAGTGTTGGGCTGAGTCCCCTAAAGAAGACTGGCCACAGCTAACTCATGCCTCACCCTGACCAGGGAGCTCTGAGGCCCCAGAAAATCCCACAGTCTGGCAGTGACATGTTGTCCAGCTCATTGCTTGGCCCCTCAGGCCGTGATCTGCTAAAACTCTAATAGGAGGTGTATTTATGAGTTGCTATAAAGGTACTGGCATCCTGGTGATAAAAGCCTCCAAAATTGCCATAAACTGCAATTTATATGTTTATAACCATTTACCAGCTAGTGGGTTAGAGATTTGGTTGTCACTGACACCAGAACCAAGGAGGCACAGTTTCTAGCCAGTGTCATGCAGGGAGGGCTGAAAGAGGGAGCACTAGTGTGTAGCAGAGGGCCACTGCCCACTTCTTCCACACCTGTCCCTTCCTGAGAGACTCCTCATTTGGGAGCATGCCCTGAAGTCTTATTTATCTTGAGGCATAACTTACGCTTAGTGAAGTACATTCACCATTAATATACAACTCTGTAATTTTTTCATAGACAGCTACCGTGTAACCATGACACCCAGCAGAGTTCATCATCCTAGGAAATTCCCTTGTGCCTCTTCTCTGTTAATGTCCCCGACCCCAAAA